CCTAGCTGCTTCAGCCATAACAGGAAATACGCAGATATCAATAATATTTTCTTGGGAGTACAGATGACTGAGGTTTGTTTGATCAGGTCGCAAATTTATTGCCCAAGATGGTAATCTGCGTGCCGCATTCATCTGTTTGTGACATAATATTCTTCAGGACTTCATGGAACCCGATGTTTTTGATGACAGCCATTGAGGATGATTTTCAAGTGGTGTGGCATGTTATAGGTTTGCAATCTCTTCCCTCTTTGCAAGTTTCTTAAAAAAAGTTTTATCAGATTTTTGGGATCGGTCTAGAGATGATCAAATTGACACTGATAACATCCATGTAAGATTTCAAACCCTTTGCATCTTCTGATTCAAGCGGGGCGAACCAAAACTCACCAGTCCCTCACCCTCCCTCGTGAGAACGCGAGAGAGAGGACTCAGGAATGCGCCTACAGAGGTATCTGATGTAAATTCCGACGTTTTGTTGGCGGGTTTTGAGGGCACTAAACGACACATTCACAGCACCTACAGTAGTGCAAAATGTGCGTGACATTAAAGGCTTTCGTTTAAGCTAGCTTTCAACCTCATAGCACCAATACTTCCTGAGATAATGGGATGTAACGGTCAAAAAGAGCCTTAAAATCGAACGTCGGAATCAGGCCTTGGAGGCACGAAAAAAAATTGCGCCAATCGATTTTGCGCGAAAGTGAGGGGAGTTGAGGGGCTGGGAGTAGGCTCATTTGATAGCCCTAGTCCATGCGCATCTTTTGAAGTGCTCTGGACCTTGAGACAAGGAGTGGTGTGTTGTGTAGAGCCCAAAAACTGAAAAACAGGTTTCATCAGATACCTCTGTAGGCGCATTCCTGGGTCCTCGAGAGAGAGACTTCAGATTATAACCCTCAAAAAACCCTGGACGGCTTTGAAGCTTTCGTCGACATGCTCAAAACCGCTCCATTGACAACCCAACTTCTTCCAACAATCTGTACCACCGATGCTAACCTCCACTCCCCCTTGTGGAATCCGAGCCACAGTAAACTAAACGACAAAGACGCCGAAAAGTTGATTGACATGCTCACAGACTGGGGCCTTAGTCTGCGGTCTCCAAAAGGTATTCCAACCTTTGGAGTGAGATCAATGAACACCGAAGGAACCTCAATTGACCAAGTATGGGTCAACGAGGACTTCGACGACGCAACCATCACATGTTTCATAGACGAACAAGATATCACTAACCATCAATCAGACCACCAAGCACTCATCACCATCTTCTCCACAAGATTAGGCGATGAGACCATTTCCATTTCCCAATCCCGCGAAAGACGGAATTGGAATAAGGTAAATGCTGCTGACCTCAAAGGTGATCTAACATCCTCCCTTCCACAACTTTGCCCACTAGTAACACGAAACGAAATCGAAAACTTTGACGAATCACTACGAACCTCCATAATCAAAGCCTTAAACGAAAACTCACCCAAAAAAGCAGTGTACGGCAAGCACAAAGCTTGGTGGAGACCGGAGATCTTAGATCCGCTCCGCAAGGAGGCCTCACGACTTCGACGTTTATCAAAAAAGAACCGCACCGAAGAATCTCACAACGCCTACAAGAAAGCCCGTAACGCCTTCAACCATGCCATTGATAAGGCTAAGGAGAATTCTTGGAGACGATTCCTCTCCGGGGTTGATCACACCAACCTCTTCCAAGCCAAACGCATAGCATCAGGACGCAAAGCTTCTTCGTTAGTAAGTACCATCATCACAGAGGACGGAAAGACATGCTCTACCAACGAGGAAAAAGCGGAAGCGCTTTTCGCGGCCACATGTGTAGCTACTGCGCCGTGCCGACTGGACAACACGAACCACCTGGACTTCCCACTGGCTGACCAGGACCGACCTACAGAGGCAACAACTCCCCCATTTCTGTCAATAATCACACACGAGAACCTAGCATCAATAATCAACGACATACCACCCAAGAAAGCGCCTGGAGGAGATGGAATCCAAAACTGGGTTTGGAAGCTCATCTGGGACAAGGTGAAGTCACATGTTAAATTTCTTTTTCAATGCATTACCATTACTGGCATTGTTCCTCGAGCATGGAAAAGAGCAGTTACGGTGATGATCCCAAAGCCAGGAAAACCGGATTACACCCAGGCATCAGCCTATCGACCAATAGCGCTTCTTGTGACGCTAAGCAAGATTTACGAAAAACTACTCACCACTCATCTATCTGGCTACGCCGAGAAACTCAAGATGCTCCACGAAGGACACTACGGAGGACGCCCCGACAGGTCTAGTCAGGAGGCCCTGGTCCACTTGATCTCGTGGATCAAGATGGAATGGTCAAAGGGTAAGGTTGTAGGCGCTCTGTTCGCAGACGTAAAATCAGAATTTCCCTCAGTACATCATCCACGACTACTCGACACACTCGAAAAGAAAGGGATCAGCACGCAGACACTCAATGTCATCTACGATTTCCTAACCGCACGCTCGACAGTTCTCACATTCAATGGGTTTGAATCAAAACCCTTCACACTTAGCCATGGGCTACCGCAAGGCTCACCTCTCTCGCCACTTCTATACCTTCTCTACAACTCTTCGCTCCTGGAGATAACTGACAAGATTTCCACAGCGTCGGCTTTAGGCTTCATCGACGACGTGGTGCTGTTATTGTCAGCAAGAGACACACACCAACTCGGCTCTCAGATGAGAACCCTCTCATATCGACAGCAGCAATGGGCACGTGACCATGGCGCCATTTTCGACACGAAGAAGACCTTCTGGGTCCTCTTCAGCCTCCAACAACACGAAATAACCCCCACAATCGATTTCGCCGATAGGAAAAAAATCGAACCTTCATCCTCAGCCAAGTGGCTTGGGGTAAAGATAGACAACAAACTGACCTTCAAACAACAACGCCTTGACGTGATAGCCAAGGGGCGACAACGGGCAGGCTTCCTCGCTGGTCTGTCAAAGACAGGATGGGGCATTCCGCCCAAACTTCTCAAGATACTCATGACAACGACAATCCACGCGGCAACAGATTATGGCGCAATGGCCTGGCTTCCTATGGAGCCACCTGTGTTTCTTGTAGAGCAGCTTACGGTCATTGACAACATCTGTGCTCGAGCCGCTCTGGGCGCCCTCAACACCACTCCGACAGTCTTTCTACGACATGATCTCCACCTCACACCTCCCAAAGCTTGCCTTCAGAGCAAAGCACTGAATTTCATGGCGCGCTCATTAGCTAAGTCCACCTCACACCCCTACTTTCACCTTGTCCAACAAGCACAACACTCGACCCCGAAGAGTCACAAAGATCCTTTCCACTCATTCTTCCAACACCCACTCCATAGCAGATTTGAGGAGTTCGTTGTCCAACTCCCCGTTGATCCAGCTTCGACTCTGATCAAGCCACCAAACTATTCGACAGTTATCCAAGAAAACGAAGACACAGCAAAAATGAACATGCTTCAACTCAAGCCGTCCACACAGCACCTACTGATATTCTCGGACGGCTCGAGAATCCCAACAAAAACCACGGCTGCGGCCGCATGGTGCGCTAACACCAAATCTTTCAAATCTGAACATCTAGGTCCAGCAAGATCCCATGGCATCTACCAAGCGGAATACCGTGGAGTCCAATTAGGTCTTACGATGGCTCTTGAACAGGCAACACAGAATACGCGAAGAACTACCATAGTCCTCGACAACCAAGGCGTAGTGAAAGACCTGCAATCAAACTCCTCCTCAGTCTCATCCCTCGATAATCGACACAAAACCTTCAAAATTCTCAAATGTTTGCATCAAGGATTCCCGCAAATGCGCATCACAATACGCTGGTGCCCAGGACACAAAGGGATACCAGGAAACGAAGAAGCGGACAAGATCGCTAACTCATTAGCTAAAAAATCACTCCCAGATAACTTTACTAACACTCCCAACACAGCAGCTTTCATCTCGGCTATCAACGAATGGAGAACTGAACAAGCTGCTTTTTTCGACGACAAAGAAACAAAGCAATTAGGACATAAGCCCAACCCTAAGAAACACCTCGATGGACTCTCAAAGCTTCTGAAGCACGAGGTCGCCACCATAACGCAAATCAGATCAGGCCACGTACCACTTCGATCATACTTAAACCGCTTTGTACAAGCTACTGACACTTTATGTGACTGCCAAGCAGGCATAGAAAATGTTGAACATTTTCTTTTCATTTGTCAATCTCACGAACAATACCGGAACATACTCGAACACGCACTACATGAACATAAAGCTAAATTGGACAAGCACATCCTATCAAACCCCAACTGCTTTCAACTGATCGCCAACTATTGCAACTCCACATGGAGGTTTGCTAACCGATGGACCTGGGCGAAAGCCATGGACCAACCACTACCGTCGAACAGACACCAACCATCAGAGTAATTTGTTCCTTTTTAAACTCCTTATTCTGCCCCATACTTCATCGCCCTATGTTACCACGACAATACCATAAAACATGTATAATAGATGAAACAGCCAACAGCAACCCTTTCCCCTGACACAGCCAGAGGGGTTTTACAGGTGCTGGACATATTAAAGAGTGTTTGATAGCCTAACGGCTACAAAAACACTTAAAACAATGAAATAAAAAAAAAAAAAAAAAAAAAAAAAAGGTTGGCGGCGGACGAGCTGGCGACGGGCTTAAGGTACATAAGCAGCCCGCCGCGTGGCCCTCGCTGGGGCCGCACGCCGATTTCAACAGCGATCCTGAATATTGATCTTGTCGCAACCCTCTCTCGAGTTTGTCGAAAACAACATCGCGCCAGCCACCAAGTCGCCGCGTCGCTATCACGCTGATAGCTACACAAAGCATTTCTTACCTCGTGCGTCCAACGTCCTTTCCCCTAATCTTGAAACAACCATACACTGAGTCATGTTTCGCCATCGATTCAGAAGACCATCTCGACAATAAAGTCTAGATAGTGTCGAGCGATCGCCCTCCTTTCCTGACCTGTGGATTGACCAAAAGAATGAAAAATGAATACCACCCACCTGCTTCCCGAGGCACCTACGCCGAGGCGCAAAATTACAACATCACCATCGATCGTAATGAACTTGACCGCATGAAGTCGCAGTCCAGCTTGGACGATTATCTCCTCTACGCTGAGATACCACCCGATCGCATCGACGAGCTCAAGGTTGTGCTATCAAAACAACGTCTCAACAGTTTTTTTTATTTCATCTTCCCATCAATATTGAATGCCACTCAACTCGTCACAATGAACATCTCATGGGGCTTCGCGATTGACTTGATGGTCCATGCGCGGCGATATTACCAACACCTATTAGATGAAAAGTTACAGATAGATTATGCGGATCTTCCCGACAGCAGTGATCTGCAAAATGGGTCTACAAAACGAGTGAAGGACGAAGACCTCTCACCATTACCCCAAGGTGGCTATGCCGAGGCACAAAATTACAACATCGCCCTCGATAACGATGAATTTGACCGGCTCAAGGCGCACTGGAGCTTAGAGAACTATCTCCTTTTTGCCGGGATACCCGAGGATCATATACAGACGCTAAAGGCCATATTATTAGAAAACAATCTTCACAATTTTCACTATTTCCTATTCCCGGATATATTCAATGTCAAGGATCTCGTCAAATTGGGGATCTCATGGGGGTTTGCTATGAAGTTGATGTTCGCCCCGCGCCGATATTACAAACACCTCCTAGACGAGGAGTCACAGATATAATATGAAGATATTTCCAACGTTAGTAATATTGAAAATGGGTTCACAACCACATTGTAGTTGGCTTATGGTGGTAGATACACACATATTACAAACCCACGTAAAATGTTTTGCTCAGAGCTGCTTCCACTTGATTCATTTTGAACGATTTGATGATCAGAGTAAAGACCTTTTATGAACGCCTTCCCAAATGCTTTCATTGCAATGATTTTACAATGTGGGGGCAAACTTTGCTGGTAGCTTGTCCTTGAGTCAATCACAATCTCTTTTTTATTTGCATCTCGGATCACATATCATAGTTGTTTTAACGCGATATGTTACAATCCAAGAAGAGACCAAAATGAACCAATTCACTGTCGGAATACATATTTACCGAACCATCCTGGAGACAAAATCATATCTTCCAAAAAATCAAATTTCAATCTTTGTCAGATTGTGACAAATGAAGACAGACAATTATTGATGCCATATCTTGGGGCCACAAACCTCATCTGCTTGAGTGTGACAATCTTGAATTGAAGGTGCCATCACATTGTATGAATACAATGGCTGATGCTCTTCCTCCGTTCTTGTGACCTTAACAACAACAACCAGGAGGTTTTTTTGTTCATCATAAAACCTGAACAAGATCTTGGAGGAATATTTTCACTTTGGATCCTCATCATTATCTTTGACCACATGACAAGTTATCTTGATTTTGCATATTGAGGATATGTTGCAATCTGTGTTCAAAGAGCATCCGCTGGGTGCTCCTTTACATACATATATCAAGAATGAAGATATCTGACAAGAATAAGAATTATCAGACCTGGAATGGAATAAAACAGGTTTGGGAGCTTGAGGTGATCTGTGCTAAACTCGCAATGCGAGGGGTTAGCCAGAATTGGGGGGTAGAGCCCTAATTATAAGGCATACTAAAATGACATATAGTGGAAATAGTTATGTACATAAGCAATTGTTTCAAAGGCTTTAAAAAAGGTCCGCTATGGGGCGGCTTGAAAGTCATGACAAGATATGAGGGTGAGGTGGGTGGGCCAAAATTAGTATCCAATGATGTATATAAAAAATCTCAGATTGTGAGAATACCTTTCAGAGATATTTTAAAATCTTTGAGGAAGGATAATATGAAGTGGAAAGTCAGAGTTCAATAACTTACTATTTATAGAATCAATATGAGGGAAGTAAGTGTCCTGGTGAAAGTAAAGGTAGATTAAAAGAGATGCTTCCCAAAAATGGTAAACAGCACAGCAATGTGCTGTAACAACACGCGACTCAATGGCTGGCACATTGTTTGTGCTGGTGACATCACAGTAGCTCCTTACTGTATTCTTGTTTCCAGAAGCCGGCTCCCAGTGGGCATTAAAACATCTGAAGTCCAGTGTACTTGATCATATGCCTTCAGACCTTTGATTTTGCTTCAATCTGAAGCTGTATTCACAAGGCTCATTTGATCTGGGTAAGGACTGTGAATTGTCAGCCACATTCTTGTTAAAGAGGACAATCCACCCTCTACCCTTCCTATTCTCAGTCTATCACAGTTAGCCAGTGTGGCACACTCCTTCCCCTTCCTTTACATTTCCTGTCAACCCTGGCTCAGTTTTTGTTCTGGCAGGTTTACTGCACCTTCAACAAAGCAATCAACACACAATATGATGAAGAAATCCCTGATTAATATCCAAGCAAGTTTCAAGAGCAATTGACCTACTTGATATATCTTGCTCTTTATTTCTATCTCTAGCCTGTTGCTCATCATGCTGATGAGAGGATATTGTCTTTAGCACATCCATACCGTATATATCCATCAAAATCCAAGAACCAATGGCTGAAATAATTTCTGGGATGATATTTATGATGTGTTGAGCTGTTGATGACACAAAACAAAGAGATTCAAACACTGTTTGGCAAAGCATAAGTCTCTTGTTAGCCATGTTCAAACCTAACCTGGTTGACACAAAAACCTGGTTACCCAGTTGCTTTTCTGGTGGTAACTTTGTGTATCCATTGACAGTTCTTGACAGCTTCCAGCCAAAAAGTCCACCGGGTCAGGTTTGAATGCACCTATTATATATTTCTCAAGATAACGTGAATAATTGATCAAATCCTCTTACTCTTCCAGCAACTACAAGACCATCATGAAGCATAACTCCAAGTAATTTGAGCAGTCAATCTGCTTCTTGATGTGCCTGAAAAACAACACCTTGCACCCCCTGATCAGCCAAAAGTCATGGATGCTTGTCAATGTTGTAACTACACAAAATGAGGAGAAAAATCAGATTTCAACAAAGTTTGAGCTTATCTTTTCGCTCTTCCTTGTTCATATTCTCTTATCAACTTTGTACAAACAATGCAGATCAGTTATTAATAATATAACAATTTCATTATGATTAATTGCATTTGAGCTAAGCAAAAAAAATTGAGCTTGATCTTAGTGTCCATCTGTTGAGAGCATCCTGAGGCTATGTAAAACAGGTAGTGCTGTGATAGTATGAAATATAGTATATGCTGTAATTGTAGGATATCCTACACTGTGCTAACATGAGCCAGCTTGTGTATAGTCAATGCAAGTGATCCTACACTGGTCAAGTCATCTTGTTGTGGTATTGCATAGCTCACATACTGACAGTGTAAGGTATTTCACATTATTAGAGTATAGGATATGTCATGTTCTGACCACATTTAGTAACTTGCCTCATTATAATGTAGCATGACTCATGTGTTTGTGTTTGATGCTTTCAACAGATAGAGTTGGGTTATGAAATAGTGATCTCTTGATCAGTATTGTGTATTTTGGTTTCTAATTTGCCATGAAAGTCTATGGAGTCTTCCTTTTTTCCTGTTCACATAACAGTGATTTGCTATTATGATTTGATATTTGATTGTCTATGTTGCTATGCTTACACCTCTATTCTTTGTGTGTGTGTTAACTCTCAGCTATGTTTTCTCTTTTCCTATATAAACTACCTATGAGTCTCACTGGGTCTTGATTGTCATCTATTCAAAACCTTTCTTCTATATACATACAAGCTTCAATCTTACTTACAACATATTTCACTGCCAACAAAGATACCTTGGATCGTAAAATCCAAGGTATCTTCAGGTATACATTCCCTTGGACTGTGTGTCCAAGGAATTAATCCAAGGCTTTCTTTGCACTCAAAGATTGCCTTGGATCATTTACTCGGACATTGTGTCCGAGGATACCTTGGATTTTCCAATACAAGGCATCTTTGTTGGCGGTGTTTCTGTGTGACCATGATTGACTCACATCATGTACCAAGAGTATGAGCTAGTCCATGCTGTTGTAGTGTAGCATAACTGATGTATTGATCAGGTCATTTGGCTCACATAACGTCCACCTTGTGGTGATCTATTTATGGGATCAATCACAAAAATTAATCATTATTGAGTTTACCAAGTTGTTAGAAAACTTCAGTGTAGCAGGAAAATCAAAATGGGGGTTTTTAGATCAATTGAAGCTCTTATAGGCTTATGTGTGGTTATTGGGTTAAGATTATGTCATCATATTTCATATTCTTAAGATCATTATAGTTTACTTACAATCATATTACAAAAAGACAGAAAGCAAAAAGATGAGAAAAATTTGAAAATATAGGTATACAGGCTGGGAAACAGTTTTGAGGGTAGTAATATTAGGTTTATGGGGTTTGTGAGGTTGGAATATGAAAGAACAACATTATATTATACTGCACCAATTTTAATCTTGAAGGTTGATAAGGAGAAACAGAAGTTATTAGGAGAAAGGTACTTTTTTGAGGATGGTAAACAAGGGTTATACATCTAAATTACATATGTAAAGGTGGTAGTAGCAAGATTTAAGATTTCCAAGAGGATTTTCCCGGATTTTTAAGTTTATAGAAGATGATTTCATATTACATGAGCAAGAAAGAAGGAGTAGCAGCTGTGAAAAGTAGTGAAAATGGGTGAATTTTGTTGAAAATGAAGGTTTTCAGCTAATTACATATGTTAAATGACGTCAGATTGTGATGGTAGATAGCTCATTCAAAGCAGAAGAGTGGATTACAAAATTTACAAACTTTAAACCACTAGTAGCAGAGGTGTACAAAAAATATAAGGGAAATAAGAAATTGGTGTGAACTTTGAATTTACAGTCACAAGCATACATGTAACACCAAAAACCTTAATTTCACAGCTCAATAACTTGTTCATCACTCATCAGAAATACCTGATATGGCACCATTTATTGATCAGTATCACAAGCTCTACAAGATGCACTTTAGTAATCCAAAATTGGACCCCATCTGAAAAAAATTGTAATCTCAAAAATTGATTTACAGCTAGTTTACAAGGAAAAATCACCTGTATTCATCATAAGAAGTGCTGTACACATATAAATATGTCATTGATCACTTTTGGCTGTGTAAATTACATCATACATTAGTAACATGATCATTACATTGCATCATCATATGGTTTTTAGGGTTCTTTAGGCGGATTTGGCTGGTTTTTGAGGCTGTTGACTGTTGTAGGAGTTGTTACATGTGGATATAAGTACTCTCTGATGATTTTGGGATTGTTGTTCCCTTTTCTGCATCTTATACCTTTGTTGTAGTGTTATAAATCATCATTTATTTACTACATTTGTGCCAAGATCACTTAAATCCGCCCCTTCAAAGCAAGGAGAAATTTATTTGTGTGTGTTAAAGACTATAAGTCTCTTTGGGAATAATACTTCCAATAGTATTGCTAGTAATAAACATTGTTTGTGGACTTTTTGTGCTTAAAATCAGGAATAATACTCATAGAAGTATTGAGAACATTTCTCTGGTGCCTTTTATCTATTTCTCTGTTATCACAAAGTGGTCAGCAAGTGCCCTTGTGCTGGTTTCTTTGAAGAAGGCAGTTGTTGACATTCAATTGACACAAGAATACATGTTCTTGCTCCTAGATTATGCTTATAGCAGATTTCACCCAAATCTTTGCACATATATATATACAACATATTATTCTTCATGAGTCTTCTTTTCCCCATCAATGAAAAGAAGACTGTGAGTGAACTAATTTCTTTATTCTTCATTCTTGATCTTGTGACCTTCTAATCTGACCTATGTTATTTTCTTATAGTCTTAGTTGTTATCCTTATCAGACCCAAGATAAGACTCTGAACTTGTTTGTTCTTTTCAACTTAGACCGTATTCCAAGACTTTCTCAGCAGTCTTTAGGCAACTTCTACTATTCTCATGTAGTAGATTATCCCTTCTTAGGTGTTGTAAAGCTCTTGTTGAGCTTTAAATACTACAACATGAACTCTTTTCACACTGCAAATACATGGGCCACTATCCCATCACAATGTGGCAAGATATGTGAAGGCCATGTCAGCCGCCACATTGCAGTATGGCAGAGTTATTCCGACATGGCCACTACATGCCCCCATAAGTAAACTTATCAAAGTATCCCCAGCCCAAGTAGTCAAGGGAGGGACTTACAGCTAATGTTGTGGTTCTCAACTCACAACAGCAAGTTTTTTGGCCATTTTTTATTCTTGCCCATTATGAGGATTCCACACCTCATAAAATCTTGTTTCCAGCCACACACTTCCTTAACTTTTAAGACAACAAATTCTAGACCACTTTCATTATCTCTTCCATGATCATTAAATCATTCTCATTTTGCTGTTTTGCTTCCTTGTCCCTTTAAATGATCATGACATCATACCCATTGTCTCTGGTGTGTTTCCTTCTTCAAATTCATTATCTTGTACCTTGGTCTTACAACCTATGAATACATATAAGAATAAATGTGTTCCTTATGTTTATGTTTCTTTTTCTCATTCATTCTTATCTGTCGTTTCTTGTACCACTAGGTACTGTGTCTTTTCATCACTCTTGTGTTCTCCATTTACATCATTGAGAGCCACTCTTGTGATTCCAAAAGTCTGTCTTATTTTCATGTGTGGGACAAATTGTGTAATTCATTCTTATCTGTTGTTTCTTGTACCACTCTCTCCCCATGCTGGTTTCAGATGTTCATTGTGGATAGATTTGCTACTATTGCAATTCTTGAACACTGTGTTTTTGGAGGCATCTGCACGCCTTATGAGCCCTGCATTCAATTAGGTGTTCCAGTTACAACTTCTTACAACTCTTCTGAGTGAGCTCAATGATTACAATGGATTCTAAAAAACACACAAAGGCATCTACATGGCTCAAATGAAGATCCTTGCCAATCAAGATTTGATGAGGTGTTGAACCCTCATAAAGAGTGATAAAGCAAAAAAGGCTGAAAATTGTGCTGTTGTGAGTTAAAAAGGGGAACTTTAGCTGTAAGCCCCTCCCTTGCCTACTTGTGTGTGGGGGGGGACTTTGATAAGTTTACCTTATAAGGAGGTGTTTAGGATATGTATTGTTCACATTAAAATTGCCCTGTGGTGTAGACAGCTATGTACTCCATTGTAATTTTCAGGATCACTTTTATCAGAGACCTAGGAACCCAACATCTTTCACCATCTGTTTCAAATAATCAAGTTTGTGCAGTTGAAAGACAAAGTTCAAAAAGTAGACATGGGACCTCAGGACAAGGTGGACAGGGGCAGAGCATTACCAAGACCACTACAAAGAGAGACTAGATCCAGATTTTTGGTAATCATCTTGAACCAGGAGTCATCTCCCTCTTGACTTTCATTCAATGATTTCCACCTAGACAAAAAGAAAGAGGTATCTCTCTCCCTATGCACAAGAAGAGCTAAGGAGTGTTCCAAAGTCATAAGGCCCCTGTGAAACAATGAAGAGAACAACCCCCATGCCAAGTTTTTTAGCTAATCGTTCATGTATTAGTGAGGCTACATAATCCAATCAGCTGCACAAACAGGCGATGACATCATGGTTTTTAATGAAACAATATCAATTGAATCTTGGGTTGATCTTCATTAGAAACCTCCAATGTGATCTCTTTACCACAGAATTTAATCTTTTCATCATCCACTTCAGCTGATGGAACTGGAATTGCGGTAGGAGAGAAAATGTTATCAACAGGTATGCTAAAAGTCTAAAGAGAAACTGCTATTGAGAAAATAAAGGATGCTATAAGTCACACAGCTAGAAGTAGAATGAATGCTATCTTATGTAGCTGCCACCCTTGAAAGTTCTTTTGCTTCATTTTGAGCTTTACATGGCGGAACAATGGGTTTCCGCAATCTTTATTCATGAAAAAAATAATTTGATGCTTCCCAAAAAAATTCACTTACAAGGATTAAATTGTCTCCTTTCCCAGCGACCCCAGTTTACTATTTCTAAAAAATCTGTTGAGTAAATCAATCATCAATTGTGCTCTGGACAGCATGTGAACTGGTAATGAAAATTGCAAGATTGAAAATGTTTATAATAGGTTATGAACTCACCTTCCTTGTCGATCGACGAACCGTCTTCTGGCAAATAGATTACAGGTTCGTCTACAAGAAGAGCAGCAACTTCACTCGATTTCTTGGCCCGTATGTGCCGCAGGAAACTATTCACAACCGTTGTTGCTGTTCTGAATTGGTTCAGCATAATCTTCCCCATAACAAAACCCTTGGCCGGATATTAGAACTCACCCTCTTCCACCGATGCCAATGTACACATAAATAATAGTGAAAGTATCACTGCATTCATAAGGATTTTGTTCCGCATTTTGATCAGATCAGACTGAGGATGATGCTTGTGGTGATCTTGATCGATAACACTTGGAAAATAAGCTGATGGAGTACAATAATTGATGATCGCAACAAGGTCAGTCGATGTTTTATACCTGCTCTAAAAATCTATCAACAATTCTTGTAGTTTGATTATCTACCACCCTGGTCAATAAGGACAAAATGATCTTTCATGTCTTGCTCTTATTTCCAAATCTGGATCGAGTTGTAAATCATGTAGAGAGCATAAAATTGTTCCAAGCTTTGGCCAAAGATAAAGATGATTGATAAGGCTATGTACACTTTTCAAACATGGCTCATCTATAATGCCTGGACGACTGCGATTATCCCAACGATAGGAAAAAAGATACAACTTTGTGACTCAATACAAGATCCCATCTCTTTGTGAAATTGTTATCTGAAGAGAGGTCATATGCTTGCAATTCATTGACAATGGAGATGATCGCATACATAAATCTCAAACCCTATTTACCTATCACTAATCTTATAGATAACTGACTCAGTCCAGAACAAATCGGAAATCCTGTAAAAATGATCCAAACCACCTGGATGGAAAAAAAGTCACTTATCTTCAGTTAAGAGTATTCAGTGACTCTTTCTCTCTCATATCTACATGCATGTAGCATTTTTTGATTTCAAATCCATTCAAAAAATCAATGCTTGCAAATATAAAAGAAAGCAAATGAAACATCTCATGTCAGTCAGAGAATTTGTAGGATACTCAAACTTCCCCCTTATCTTAGAATTTATCACTAGATTAAATATTTGTATAGCCGTCAATTTTTTTTGAAATTGGCTGTCATAATCTACGCCTTCAAATTTGAAAACATGATCAATTATATTGGAGTATAATTTGTCCATTTAGCTACTTGAGTTTTTTCTATCAACAATGATAGTAAAGGATCTGCTTGACATCAAAGAGTGAACTCTTATCAGGTAGATTCCACTGATTTTTCTATAGATGCTTGATAGTTGACCTTTGTGACCATTTGATATTTTCGCTTTGATGCAATAATCACAAGTCCTCAAGGTTTTGGGTTGGCCTGTTGACTTATTCCCATCAGCTGAGCCAGATTTATTGAGATTTGATTTTGCAAAGAAGCAGTGATTGGGACTAGCCTTTACCAGCTATATATGGAACTCACTCTTTCCCCAATTTTTAATCATTTTCAAGGGAAAGGGCTATTTATCAAATAGTCAACAATTTTGACATGCAATACCCATGACATGGCCACACTGAGTGGTTCACTCTTGGAAAAAACTCAACTTGATGGTGAGTTTTTGTACAACAGTTTTGAAATTGCCTCTTTTCTGAGTAAATGATTGGGGCAAAAGAGTGTGTAAATCATCATGTATGGTTTACTGGTGAGGTTTGGAACTCGTAGCTTGCCCAGGAGACAGTCAAGAATTTAGTGTAAGAAATACTGAAACCTGAAAGAAATTAAATTCAATCAAGCTTGATGTGAGATAATCATAACACTGCAATGTAATGCATATGAGGGGAAACATTTATGAAGTCAGGAAAATGGTCTTCGATCAAATAAAGAATATGATGAAATCATCAGACAAGGGAAACAATGATGTATCCTGATTGGATTGTACATGAAGGCTATAGTGAAATCTGTGTGAACTTTTCCAAATCAATCTTTTTCTCTCTTTCCACTTCCATGTTCCATCTATGTGTTACTTTCATTGCTTTTCAAAGACTCCATCATTTCAGTGGCCAAACTATTGTTCTACCCTGACTTATGTGGTTACCAGGACGATTCTCTTGAAGCGCCAGGCTTGGGTGCCCAATCTGAATCTTCAGGTATGTCATTAAAACATATTTTGAAAAGTTTCATTTGCTCTTTCTCAAAAAGAAGGTCAAAGTGATTGCAAGAAATCCCAAACTGATCCTTATCATCGTCATCTTTAAATACTTGAACTGTTGTGAGAGACAGAATGTCATCAACAAATCAACAAATATGGTATGAATCAAAACCATAACTTCGGGAGAATGTGCAAAGAAAATCAACAGAGATATGAAAGCTGCATTGACATCAATCACAGCTGAAGCCCTTCTCAGATATGAGTATGAGATAGATTCATGGCTTTGCAGTCTCAACCAGATACGAGTGAAGTTTGGGGATCTGATTTGGCAACACAACATTTTTCTACAGCTTTGATCATTTGCACAAAGAAGATAATTCCAAGGGAAATTCTCAAAGACTTGTGACTCACAACCAGGAAATTTTTTGCCTGCCCAATCCCCATTGGCTACCTTTTCAAGAAATTCTAGTGGTCGAGTCAATTTGTCAGTCATGAAGAGTTTGAGGGAATGCTCATAGGAAGCTTCAAGGATGTAATATGAACACTGTTTGTAATTGAGTAGTTACCTTTGTGATCTATAATTTTCTCAGGTTCTGCCAATGCCACAGGCAACGATTGACCTGTAACCTTCTTTATGGCTTCATTTATTGGAACTTCGGTAGTACCTTTGTGTGTTGAAACTTCCACTATAAAATTTATACCTTGTGGCAATGTTATTTGAGTTCCATGTGGGATGAGATCACCAACCTTTGTGTCTTTTGCGCTGATGAGTTCTGAAATTTTTTGGCCGATAGCTACTGCCTCATCAAAAGGGTCTAACATACCATTGGGTCAGTACAATTTTCATCGCAAAACTTCCAAGCGCACAACAAAACTCACTCGCCGATGAAAAGGTGAAAATGAATGAAAAGATGACCATAGTTGAAAAAAAGTTTTTGAACATTCTGATTTAAGTGCAATGAGGATGATCTGTTGTACTTGGCGTGATTTAGATGGACAACACTTGGGACACAAGCTGATGATGAACAATGTAGGTGTGAACAATGTAGGTGTGAACAAACAAGGGGCCTCTTATATATATATTGATATCCTTATCAGTGAATTTATTCTTCACCCCAAAATCATGGTCAAAATGTCTGACTCTCATCGGCCATTCGGATCATGTCGGAAATCAGATATTGTGCACAGCTTTATTCGAAAAAAAAAACTTTGAAGCTGCGGATGATTTATGTTGATTCAATTTTGACGATGTTTTGAAGTTGATTCGCCAAAAAAAACTCTCTGCGGGGCTCATTGATATTTTTGTAACGGCTTCATTGCTCAAACTGCATAGCCTTGGAGATCTATTGATGTAAGTGTAAACATCCTTTTTGATATGAAGATGTTTTGAAGTTGATTTGCAAAAAATAGCTTCTCTGCGAGGCTCATTCATATCTTTTCAGCGGTTTGATTGATCAAACTGCATGGCCCTCGAGGTCTGTTGATGTAACTCACAGTCAGAAGTTCATCATATCAGATATTATACACAGCTTTTTTAATAAAATTGGATGATGTTGGTTTGAAATTGATTAAAAAAACCCTCTCTGCGCGGGGACCATTCATATCTTTGCGACAGCTTCCACGATAAAAATATGCAACTTGAAGTCTTGTTAAATGCCACTCGCCATCAGATGTTCATTCATCAATGAGTTATTTGCGGTATTTTGACTGGCTGCCCTTGCACCACCGATCGGGAATGATGTGCAACTTGTGTGGCGTGTGTTGATTTGAGCAGATCCCTGAAAATTGAATTGATTGAGAACAGTGATCGAGAACAAAGATAAATTCATAACCTCAAACCTGTTTATATCTTTATTCATGAATTATGCTACCCAAAGGCACGACGGTAAATACCATCAGTTTCCACAAGACGCACAGCAATATCCGGATAGGGGAAGTCGCGTGATATCTCTATACTGAGGGATCCTGTAAGTTGGACGCATTTTATCAGGGTGCTCAAGAGCATTCCCAGCCGTGCCCTAAACCTGCGCCGTCCAGATTGTTCGCACAGAGAGTCAAAGAAGTGTTGGTGGTACAAAAAATTGGACAATCCACAGCCGCACTTCCCTACAGTACAGCTTGTAAGCATATTCTGACATCAATTTCATGTCTATGAATCTGATGACGATGATCAGACTGAAGTCCATATTGCCACCCATGATATGTAGATAGATACATTGGCTATGAAAATCCAACTATTTTCTTGAGGCCATGGAATGGTCAGCAGAAGTTGAGCCGGTAGATGATCAACATGCATCATTCAGGAAAAGATTTCAAAGTCTCTATCACTCACCAGATAGTTGGTCAAGAAAGTTTCAAAATCAGCTTGACATGTTGATCCCTACTGTAGCATCAAAGTGAGGCAGTCACTGAGTGAACAGCTGGTAATAAGCTATACTGGCTCAAGAATGTTGGACATAAGAGCCTTTTAGTACAATGGCCACATTTTGCCCTTCCAGGCTTGTGACGTGCACTATGTTTTGCTACCACACTCTCATCTACACCCATAATGATACAAGAAGCAAGTGAGCCTAGAATTTGAAAGATAAAATCAATCAAACGTAAGCATAAATAGCTTGAAAAGATCAGAAAGTTGATTAAGATATACTACCACAAGCCATGATATGAAGGTGTTCTGCTTGGATCCATTCAGATTGGTTTGGATGGGCTGTGCTGGGCTGTGTGAGTGATCTTTAACCTCAACACAAGACAATCCCACACTTCATTTTTTTCTTCTCAATGTTCAACAAATGGTAATAATTCACAAAGCTTTCATTCAAAAAAAAATCCATCTGATGTTTCAAAAAGCAAGCAAAAGTTAAACCCAAGCAAACATATTGATATTGATCAAGCATTAAAAGAACAACTAAACCAACTACCTAAATGTTCCATGTATGTAGACTCAATTATATATAATGTATCAACAAATCATTCTCCTAAAGAAAAACAAAGGTAATCTAAACTAAACTTTTCAATTTTCATTTTTTATCATCTTCAAGTAATCAAACTTCAATCCAATTCCAAAAAATTCATTCTTAAACTTTTTCACAAATCCAAATCCAAATCCAAATCCAAAAGTTTTTACAAGTATTTTCTTTTTTTGTTTGTTTGAAAAAACGTAAAAATTCATTTTTAATTTTCAAAACCAATCATTCAAAACTTCATTCATCATTTACTTTTTTTTGTTTCCATATTGTAAATCAATAAATCAAACGTCAATAAATCAAACATCAAAAAATCAAAACAAAAAACCGTTTTTCCAAATCCAAACTCCAAAATCCAATTGTTTATGTTTCCTTACTCAACCATCCTCACTACACCTTCTTCATGTCCATTCCCATCAATCCGATCGCCACCCCCATGCCTATTCCCATCAATCCCATTCCCATTATTGCCATCAATCCCAACCTCTCTAAGTTTCCAAACCCCAGACCCCTTAAAAGCAATCTCATTCAACTTCTTCTCAATCAACACTTTCGACAACTTAATCGAATAATCCAGGACGAAACTCAATCTAATCTCTTCGACCAACAAAGGTTTCGATTTCCTATTCCCATTGACAATCGATTTCAATCTCATTAAATGTTCATTCGGAAAGACTTTCATAGGTTTAGGATTCATTTCTTTGGTAATAGTTGTGGTTGTGGTTGTAGATGATAATGGTGTTGGGATTTGGTTTGGGTTCGCATTCACACTCGTTCCTAGTGGTGATTTAATTGGTTTGCTTGAGAGATTTGAATTCATTGGTTTCGAATTCATGTTTGGTTTTTTGATAGTTTGGGATTTGGTGAGATGAGTAAACGGGTTTAATCCGATTCTAGCGTCTACAAAAAATCCAAAAAATACAAATCATACCCCCACCCCAAAAAAGTGATCAATCAATCAAGAGTTTCCGAAAGAGATTCATTCAAAACTTGATAAAATGATTAACTTACCATTAATAAATTGGATTCTAAAAGGTTCAAACATAGGTACATCCACTTCACCTAACCTTTTCTCCCACATAGGACCTTTAACCACAGGCACCAAAGGACCCACAATCTTTCTTCTCTTCACCGCCCCATTAGTCGCCGTAGCCGTGGCCGTACTCTTACTCTTACTCTTTCCAATCTCTTCAATTCCTTCCATCACTTGGTTTTCCAACTCGGTATAATCCAATTCAACTTCATCATCTCCAACTAACCATCCATCTTCATCTGATTCATCTAATCCTCCATTCTCTAAATCTGATTCTTCTCCATTCTTACCAAGATCAGACCCTTCTAAATCTTCTCCTTCTAAATCATCTTCTACCCAATCTGCTTCACTATCATAATCATAATCTAACAAACAACTATCTCTTCCAAACGGTTTACGTGGTTTTACTAATCTTGAAGTTTTAGACCAAGTACCTATTCACAACCAACCAAAATTCGAGTCAATCAATTCAATTCAATTTCGAGTTCGATGATTTTGAAATCCAATAGAATTTCATCAAAAAATCTTTAACATACCAATATAACCTGGTCTAACATCTTCATGAAACACTAAATGTTTCAAAGGCACCATCGATCTATTCTTCAACATCCTTCTATACTTTCTTGTACCTTCAATACTACCTGACATCTCATTCTCGGCTAATCCATTCACAATCTCTCGAATCGGAATCAGTTTATTAGCTTTGATTTGACTTGGAATCGGTTTATGTTCGGATGAGATGGATGAAATGAAATCTTCTAAACAACCTATAATCAACCGCAACGAAAAAAAGTACATGCGTGTTCTTAGTTTGGCTTTTTGGTTCTTTTAGTTTCCTTTGACGTATAGGTTTACTGGTTCTAGAAAATTCAGATCTGATGGGTCTGAGTGGGTTGGTGTGTGACTTACGTTGTAAGGTTAAATGAGGGATTGGTATGATCTCATGATTCTCTTGAACTCTTTGAAACCGATTCGGTGGTGCAAGATCCACATTAGCCTTTGCATTAAAAGGTTTAAAAACCCGTTGAAAATCACTCAATTTGCCCTTACTACTACCACTACTACTATTACCAATAATAGGTAGAGAAGATTGAACCGATCGGTTTCTTGAATCTGTAGCTGATAAACTCGTCGAGGCTTGTTTCTTATCAACTAATTTCAATGTACTTGTACTAGCACTCGATTGAAGGTCTGGGTTTGATTGGGTTGGGTTGGCTTTCGATATCCATCCAGACATCAAGTTTCCCATCTTCTTCTTTGCTTGTTCTTCAGCAACTTTAGCTTCTTCTTTTTCTCGTTTCTTTTGATCTCTTACGATTCTTGCCATCTCTTTCTCACTCGTGACTTTATCCATTTCGGCTTTTTCTGGGATTCCTTTCACATTTAGATGTTCGGGTGGTAGGCTTGGGTTGGGTTTGGTCGTCGGTTTAGGTTTTCGTTTTTGATGATACGATTGAAGTTTTTTTAAAATCGATTCTTGTTCGGTTTGATTCAAGTTACATAAATAATTGAGGATTTGAGGTTTGATCTAAAGATTCATGATTTGTAATAAGTATCATCAAAAAAACTTTGAAACGTCTATTGATGATTCAGACGAACCAATTGTCTTTCTTCCCATCGTTTTTCATACTTTTCTCTTAATTCAAACGGTATAACTTTTTGACGATCATTCGATTCCCATCTCCAAATCTCAAATCGATTCTAAAAAACAATTCGAAATTCCCAATACATCAGTCCAATAAGACCTACTCAAACTTGATCAAGATTGAAGAAGAAGAAAAGTTCAATTACTTGTAAAACTTCATCAGATAACCAGTTTAGTTCAGATGAGTTTTCGAGTCCATAATTCGTCCATTTAGCTACTTGAGGAATGGATGATTCTAATAAAGACAATGGTAAAGGATCTACGGTTTTCCCCCAAAAGTCTAATCAATCAACTTGTCCAAAAGATTCAAAGGAATGGATCGTTCGAAAAACTCACCGAATTTCTTACTAGTTTCATCATCTTCATCAAGTATAGATTGTGGTAAAAGTTTAGAATGTAAATACTTAGACAACTGAACCAACGGTTTGTCTCTATTCTCAAAGTTTGGGTTAAAACACATCAGTCTTTTGGGTAGTTTAGGTAACCAAATGAAGCAAAGGTCTTACGATTCGTGTACTAGAGATGAAATCAAATCCAATTGATGTGTAGTAAATTCCTTTAAGACTGAATCGCGTGACTGTAATTCTTCTGTAAAGGAAATCAAATCTGACACGTGATTTTCAAAAGATATCAACCGATTAGAATTCAAAGAAATTGCATATATCTATTGAAGAGAAAAGTCAAGTATACCTTTTTTGATAGAGAGACTAACATCTGATAATTCTAATGGTTTTTGATTGATTGAAAAAGTAGATTTTGATTTATCAAATTTGATTAAAGATGCTGATGATGATGATTTGTTGGTTGATTGAGTTTTGAGCTTCTTTGGGGTTGGTTGAGTTGATGGATGGGATTGAGGTTGGATTGGTTTTGGTGATGAGGATGATGATGATGAAGCAGTTGAGGAAGATGAAGTTGGTTGAGAAGTGATTGGTTTTGTGTTTTGATGTTCAGTTGACATTCTTTTGATTTCTTTTTGTTTTGCTGAGCTGATGAGATTGATATTTGTGATGGTGATGGTCAGTAGTCTTCGTGTTCTGGTTCTGATTTGATTTGATTTGATTTTCAATTTCACTTCTGCACAGTCACTGCGCATTCACCTTCAACTTTCACTTCTCGATCAAAACCATTCAACAACGGACACCTGGCCACAACAATCAGGCTAAAAATTGAATTGAACACCAATGCTAATTTGATCTCTATCAAGAAGATTGAAGACCTAGCTTTAGCTTGCGTGTGAGGAAAAATAAGAAAGATATCTGATTCTTCATCAATTGCTCGAATTCCTTTCAATCTTCAAATCTCTTCTCCCTCAAGTTTTGAAGTTTGGTCAATAGTCTTATTGGAAGGTAGGTTTTTAGCAAGAATATACCATCATCACACATGAAAAACCCATGGTTCTGAAGTAATATTCAAGTAAATCATTCAAGGGAATTAATTGGACAGATACCGATGAAGTCGAGGGGTGAGTTTTGGGTTGCAGATGGCAAAAACTGACCGGCTCAGCATAAACACTCAAATATTAGCAAGGAAGGTTTGAAACAGATTTATCATTTCAGGGAGTGTCGGTTGAAGGTTTTGAAGGTCTATGATCTGTCAAGTCCATTTCCTCGGCTATCATCGTTTCTCATTCTCATCTTCATAACATCTCATCGCCTTTGAAACCCAATTCTCAACAAAAGCCTAACACGCAGCCATATCTTGAGTCGCACAAAGCCAAGAGGCCAAGAAATGAATCGTATTCAATCGAAGCGAATCACAAGCTTTCCAACATTGGACAAAACAAAATGGGCTTGCTTACATCTACCACTTGATGTTTCACTAGCAAACACTGATGCGCAATTGAAGCCATCGATCTCATATCATGCTTGATAACGCAACTTTTCATTTTCGGGAAGCATTCGGGCAGCTGGTCGTGACCCGAGTCGGTCGGTAATATCTTCATGCTGAAATGCGCGTTCGCACTTTCGCCCTACACTCATCGGTCCGGGATGACAGCCGCACCACCCATGCACTGGAATGGATGTCGCGTTCTATAATAGGAGCCAGCGAGGACTTCCATTGGTCATATATTCAACCAAATCAATCAACTTGATCTGATTGATATGAAGCTACACATCACACTGCATCTGGCCTGACGAGCCCTACGTGACCATACCCTCTATTGCGAAGATGATCAGCTTTTGTTGAATGTAAATTGTTGGATCATAAATCTAATGTAAATGAAAAGAATCCCATTTTTCATGTCTTTGAGCAAAGTAACCGAGTTGACTTGGTTGAGATGAAACTACACATCACACTACCTATGACCTCGCAAGACCCCCTTCTCCAACTTCTCCACGCTGAAGATGATGAGCGTTCTTTGAGTGTAACTTGCGCAATCGATTAACTTATAGAGATGCTAGTTTGAAAAATATCTCTTCTTGATTTCGAGATCAAATGTTATGAATGATGCTATGGAATGTAAACAAACTTTGATGCGGATCTCATTCACTCAAGTCTAGCGTCTCTATCAAGTTTGAAGATCGCGTGGAGTACTGCCCTGAGCTTTCGGATCGCAATCACTCTGCAACATACATGATAGCTGAACAGACTGTCTCTAAGAGTTTTGTCCTTGAGTCTTGCTTAGAATCGGAAAATGATCTGAACGATGTCTTTGTAGAAATCTAATCATAACAGTCTACATCAACTGCACCGTTTATAAAACCTTTGGTCTCAGAGCTCACTGACGGTAAACTAAGATACGCGATGAACAGACTTGCAACATGAAGGTCACAGGCACATCGCGCGTCTTGAAACCCAATTATTCGAATCGTCTCATGAGAATAGCCCAAGCCTTTGACGATTGTGACACGTTGATCGTGTGATGGACATCATTTTGAGAAGATGTGTCTTCCGGACAACATATGCTTTGAAATTAAATGATGAACATAAGTTTATATATTGCCTCATGAGCTTGTTTCCTGCGATTACCAAAAGTCTGGTTCATTCATCCACTCGATAGCGAAGCATCTATGTAGAGCAGAATATGAAATGTTCAGATTGACTTTGAAAACGACGAGATGACTGATATCGTTCTCTGGAAGGATTCTAAAGATTGAGAACGGGCTGTGAGGTATCTTCATAAATACAAAACCAGACCACTTGTCTATATGAAGATTCCACTCACAAGCAATTTATATACTCTCAATTTCTTGTTTACATTCAAAAGAAGATATGTGCGATCAGCTGTTTGCCTAAGCTTGAAAACAACCAAACGTGACCGGCTCCTGGGATCGCGCTTGACTAGACTGTGACCTTTTTCTCTATATCACAGTAGGTGCCTCAGATAACAGCAGGATAGATCCGATTGTTTCTTCGCTAGCTTTGACTTTGATATGTTTCTGATTTTGTGGTATCCGCACAAGATGGGAGCGGAACCGATAATCTTCCTATCAGTAAACCTTTACGAAATCATATCGAAGAGTTCACATCTATGACCATGGCCTATGACGAAAAACTCCAAATCGATTGAATCGTGAGTCTTGATGATGATTCTGAAAATATCTTCAGATCATCAACGATTATTGGTCCAAATTCAAGCGATGAAGACTTTGAAGGCTTTTGTCAAAAGCCGATGTTTGTTCAAAGTATCCTTCATTCACCTCAGAGTGATCCATGTGAGAGCTGGACAGACAGAAGAAAACTCACAAGTGAAAGCAACTTTTTGAGCTCGGTTGCAACTAAAGCTTTGGTCCGAAATATCGTCAAACCTTGATCAAGGAGGCAGTGTAAATTAGGTGGAGATCCAATTGTATCGTTGGAGATATCGCTTGCTAAAGCCCTACTTGATAAACTCCTTATAATCAAATTTTGAAAGGGTTGGGGGCGAAATGAAGTTCATGTACCAGATCTCCGTAGTTTGGAATGATGTAGAATTAGAACTTGTATATTACCCTTTGTCATGATACTCTTGTTGATCAGAGACCCGACATGCATATAAAGTTCTTTTTTTGATTTCAGTTTGTGTGAAATATACAAATAAATGAACATATAACAATTCTAAATGCACGAGTGATCAGGACAATAAGTAAAGGAAACTACTTGTTGATCTATATGATCGCAAGATATAAGAAGCAAAATAGTCTGGAGTGATGGTAGCAAAACATGGGGAAATCTCATTATAGCGGAAAATGACTCCTGGATCAAATTCAGCGCGAACGCGTATACGTATCGCGTCTTACATTATTGGAATCATTAATAATGTCAGGAAAAAGCGCGCGCGGTTCTCTATGTTAACGTGATGCTTGTAATGAGAAAAAATAAGCTTAATTTTACTCCATTTCTGCTTGATTTCTGGTGGGTATGAATGGCATAAACCGATAAACCCATAAGTATGTAATTATTCGGGTTAGAGTCAGTATATAAACCGTACGAAGTGAAATTCCTCCTTGAATACTTTTTAACAACTTACCACATCACATCACATCACCTTCAAATTGGTTCAAGATCTCAATAACCTCCAGAAGATTAGAATGTCAAACTTTGTGATGCCAGATGTTGAGGACGATTACATTGTATGTTCTTTTTTTTCCTTTCACTCAACTCTTCCTTTTATTCGATCGATCCTCCCATTCCTTTTTCATTTCTCTTACTCTTGTTCCTTTTCTCTCTCAAGAGCTATGCCTCGGGTCTAGAGCGTCACTTCCAAGAAACGGGCGAAAGACTAGCTCTTCTCAGCACGCCAGAGACCAGACTAAAGCAAGAAGCCGAGGCTGAAGCTGAAGCCAAAGCCAAAGCTGTAGCTGAGGCATTGAGCAAACTCACAGAAAGAGAAGGAAGGAGTTCAGAAGAAGGTATGCTTCTATTCCACTTCATGCATTGGATCCTTTTTCACTTGATTCAAGTGGTACACTTTACTGATATTCGCTTCCATTTCCACTAGCTCTTCCCAAACTTCCTCTTAGCCTCAAAGCTAAACTCAAGAAGCTTCGCGCAGATGCATTAAGGAAGGGAGACTCGGTGAGTATTTCAACTCCATTGGCTTTTCTTTGTCAATCTTCTTTTCTCTGAGACTCTTTTCTCTTTTTTCTTTTTGACCGCCTCTTCACATCATAGCACCCCAAATCATCCACTGTGCCCAAGATCGTCCACGTCCATCAAGATAATCAACCAATCCCTTCCGGTTCCGAAGAGGTCTCGGTTATCAGCACGCCAGAGACTAGACTAAAGCGAGAAGCCGAGGCTGAAGCTGAAGCCAAAGCCAAAGCTGTAGCTGAGGCATTGAGCAAACTCACAGAAAGAGAAGGTATGCTTCTATTCCACTTCATGCATTGAATCCTTTGTCACTCGATTCAAGTGGTACACTTTACTGATATTCGCTTCCATTTCCACTAGCTCTTCCCGAACTTCCTCTTAGCCTCAAAGCTAAACTCAAGAAGCTTCTCCCAGATGCATTAAGGAAGAGAGACTCGGTGAGTATTTCAACTCCGTTCGCTTTTCTTTGTCAATCTTCTTGTCTCTGAGACTCTTCTCTTTTTTCTTTTTGACCGCCTCTTCACATCATAGCACCCCAAATCATCCACTCTGCCCAAGATCGTCCACGTCCATCAAGTCGATGATCAACCAATCCCCTCCGGTTCCGAAGAGGTCTTGGTTATCAGCACGCCAGAGACCAGACTAAAGCGAGAAGCTGAAGCCAAAGCCAAAGCTGTAGCTGAGGCATTGAGCAAACTCACAGAAAGAGAAGGAAGGAGTTCAGAAGAAGGTATGCTTCTATTCCACTTCATGCATTGAATCCTTTTTCACTCGATTCAAGTGGTACACTTTACTGATATTCGCTTCCATTTCCGTTGGTCCAACTCTTGACATTTGATTGACAACAAAGATGAAGCTGAGATCAAGTCCGAAGAAGAGGTAGAATTTGAAAGCTATGAAAACAATCCATTATTTCCTAAGAATGATGGTATTCTACGATATGATGAAGAATTTAGGGTATACACCAATAGATTCAAATATGATGGAAACGCGAATCTATACACTTATAGGTATTATATTTAGTATTAATGCTATGTTTATTTTGGGGTTGAAACGAAAATCAATGGTTATATAATGAGATGAAGCGTATTGCTCCTATTACAAATAGAATTAATACCTGTCTTGTCAATTGCACAAGACTCCTCTCATACCCCACAAGGTCTTTCTTGAAGCTTTGGTATTCTCTCTTGCCATGAACCACTCGCAACCATACATCATGTTTGCCTCCTCATAACTATTTGCCTCTCATCTCCCTCGAACTTTGAATAATCATATTTAAGATTCATATTTTGTCTATTTTGTGTTTGAAAAGAAAATCAATATTTGTATAATGTCATGAAGCGTATTTATTCACAAATTGATTTGAATAAGAATATTGAAAAAACTTCGGAAAAGATAAGAAACGCCTATGTATTACTTTGTTGTGTCGATTCGAGCGAGTCGCTCAAGTAAGTAGATATGTGACTGTGGTATCGAATACAGGGTTGAGAGAAATCTAAACTTCATAGATTGTTTTTATTCAATGACTATATAAATGAAAAGAAACAATTCTTCAACTTTATGTCTGATTTGTTCCAAGCTCTGACCTTGCTCTGAACAACCAGCTAGGGATTTGGTATTTATTCAAAAGTGTTTGTTAAGAATATGACATGGTTCTTTTACGATGACTATTTATGACTTAATCAGGAAATAAATACGAGCCACTCCTGTGGTTCATGAGAGCTGATGAAACCTGCAAAGATGATGTACACATGAAGTTGAGCTCTGGGCATCTTGACAGCTTACTGGAGGTCCGCAAAGCTTTTGGTAGATGAGGCCAAATTTCTTCATGACTTGATAAATCCTCAAACAATTCACTCAGTGACAGTGTCTTCACTCCTGAACAAGAAGGCACACTAAGGCCTTCTTGTTTGCAAAACGTATGATATCTCTTCAAGTATCTCATTGATACTCTGTTTCCTAGATTTCAGATCGAATTGCTAGACTCTGGAAATGATTGTGTATGTCTCATCTTTGATAGGTCCAATAGGCCCTTGGCTCGCCTTAGCCGGATAGAAGGATAATCCCGAACTAAACACAACAACGTCGCCCAGCCAAAGGGATAGTGAAAAATGCAGAAACTCGACACTTCTCATCTTTCTCTCTGATATAATGTAGGTTTTATGTTACCATACTCTGATGAGTTTATCCGAGGCGTTTCAAGGCTCTTTTACAATAAAGCCAGTGAAGGAAGTATCTGATCAATAATTCTCTGAACATCAAATATATCCTTCACAGTTCGTTTCACCCTAGGTTCCATCACTTTTAGACTCGTCTGCGATGTGTGTATGAAGTTAAACTGATACATGGAAATACAATACATCCATCGTAACTCAGTCTCCAAATCTGTTCTCTCCTGCTGTCTCAAGTTTCTCGCAGTAAGGCTGAGCGAATCCAATCTTCACCCGCCTCATGGATCACAAACTTACAATTCCCTCATTGATTTAGTCTCGCAAAATCTAATTCTACTTTCTCTTTGATTTTAAAGTTTTCACTTGAGATCTACATCCCCATCCATTCGTTTTAAACAAACTCTCTTTGTCCTTCTTGCCTGCTTGTCTCAAATCTCATTCTTTCAATCCCGTTCTTATCTTTCCGAGTTTCTCAACGACCCAAGACCCGACACAAATCCTGTTCAATGGCAGATCTAGGTTCATCAATGGCCTTTGCCATCGGTCTAGTCTCAGTTGCCGGTTCAATCTCAGTCTACGCCACCAAGAAAATCAAACAAGCAAGAAAAGGAAATCAAACCTCAAGACCGGCAAAGAAACCATTACTTTTACCGTCTCTCGTTTCATCTCCATCAAGTCAAAAGAGCTCAGATGAAGATTCAGTAGCTCTATCTGAGATCAGAGCTGCTTATCTGGCTAGAGCTGGAATGGAAAAAAGTCTTTGGGAAAAACCTAGACCTTTAGCTCAACTCGACAGATTACCTTGTTTCAATGAAGGCAATGAGGTTCACAATCGAGAAAGTCAAGATTCAGAAGTGGAATCAGAAGATTTTGTCAAAGATGAAGGGGAGGGAAAGAATGAAATCATTTGTATGGACAGGTTAGGACCAAATGATAATTCAACACGTCAATCTCATCGAGAATCAGGATCTAGTCTTAATTCTTTCGCAAACTCAGAAGTTGGGAATAGAGATTCATTCATGAGCTGTAATGAATTTGATTTCGAGTAAATAAGATTTTCTTCAAAATTCTTTTGGTTAGGAAAAGTTTACTTACTCTCTTGTTCTTTTAGGCAACTGGGCGTTGTGATTGGATCTGGGTCTAGGCTTGGAAGGTTTCCCGCAGAACGCGTAGAGTTCGGTACTGCCATCTAGAAGTTCATATCAATTGAAAGATTTCTACAGATGAGGAGAAGACACAGAGATAATGATGAGACAATATTTCCATTTCTTTATTCCTTTGCCTAACTTTTTCAACATCATAAATGCAAATTACCAAAAAAAAATCGAAAAACCTAGTCGTTAAACTTATCACAATCATTATTTCACAGTCATTTTTACCGTGACATTTCTTGTATAAGCTCTCATTTTTTCTTTCAACCATGTTACAAACTTTCTTGAGTTCATATTATCTTTTTCTACCTTCAAGAAACTAATCATCATCCCTTATATATACATACATGCATATATATTTATATATAAACTTATTGATCTTTGATAACCTAAATCTTTTCATCATTTTTTTGTAAAGCAAGAAAGATCATCACTTGATTCGCTTCTCTGTGATAGGTCTCATTGAATGACTTCTTATCGGGTTTTGAGATAAGTGGCAGTAATCAAAGTTGGAAAAATTTGCTGGAGAGCAAAAGAGAGGGAAAGACTGTCGGAATACCAGATTTTGAATTGTCCAATCTGGCTGAGTTGGATTCACACACCAAGGCTTTCACATGAGTCAAGTTTGTATCCCATGTGTCGTCGTTTCCAAGACCGGACTTTTTATATGCTATCTAAGACAATCAATCTCCAAGAGTTATAGATCTTGCCACTCAGAGACAGTTTTTCTAACATTTCTGTCTGCTTGAAATAACAACAAGTTTCATTTTCGATTTACTCATGTCAGCTCATCTCGAGCTTCCAAATTCTACGGAATAGTCAACTCTTTCCAATGGTGAAGCTGTTATCCCTCAAACCATGCCATCGCTCTAGAGGGATGTGTTTTGCCTACTCAAATATGACACGCCGCAAAAAGCAGTCATATTGAAGTCATCAATCAATGTACTTCAACCATCCAAATGTCAACAAAATATGAAGTCTACTAGATATATATGCATTTTTCATGTACATTCAATGAATGAGATTGTTTTGAGTACTATCTAGCTAGATGCAAATAAAACGTACAAAATACAATGACTTGCCAAATGAGAGAAAAGAATACCTATGTACAAAGGTTTTTTTAACTGATCATCTTTAAGATCTTTTTATTTACTCGTATCTTGTTGCCTTTAGTCTTTTCACTTGGGTATACCTCCTTTCTTCAAAAATCTCTGAATTATCTCGTCGGTTGGAGGCATCCAACAAACGCAAGTTTTTCCTTCAATCACATGACTAAGACCGGTACCTTCGAGTCGACTGTTCATCCCTTTCGCATACGTTTGGCTGCAACACTACTTCCGCTGTACTTGCCAGGAGATTTACTTCCGCTAGCCTTGGGACTAGGTCTAGCACTAGGTTTAGCACTACTGGCAGACTTGCCCCAAGGTTTGGCGACAGGTTTGATCACAGGCTTGTTGATATACTTGGCCTTCTTACATTCTTTTTCGAAATAGGTTATCAATTGATCGAATTGGGTATCTTCCATACATCCAAAAGGTCCCCCTTCGCTCGCCTTAGTCAGTTTGAGTTCCGTTGTACGTGGTGATGCGATGCCAAGAGCGATACGTGCTAATAAACGTGCATCATCTCGATATGGGCATGCCTTTTTTGATAATTGATAATCAACCAATTTGAATGTAATAACAGTATTGGAGAAGGTGTCAGAAGGGATCGAAGAAAAGGATGAGTCAAAAAAGTCAGCTTTTTTGTTTGAAATCTCATTGAATGATATAATTTTTGATATTCTTACATCTAAAATGAGCTTCGCTTTCACGGCATCAACTTTGGTTTCGACTTTACAATCAAATTTGATCGGTTCCAAGGTCGCGCAATACTTGAAAAGTGATTATTAATGCATATCAAAACATCATCAGATTGTTGTATCCTTATTCCACTGAAAAAAACTTTACCCAAAAAGATGATAAGGTCGTAACTCACAATGCATGCCCCGCATGAGCTGAGAGGAATAGACTCATGGTCTCCAAAGTATGCAGCCAAGCTTTGCGCTATACCTAAACCCCGTACAATAAGGTTCATCAGAAATCAACAATCCTTATCTCTTCAAATCCTCACCGTATGCCCAATGATAGAATAATCTTTGGCATCGGATAATTGGACTCGGACATACAATCGTCTTTAGTTAACAAATCCACGACTTCGTACAAGCGACCGACATCAGCTTCTTCACGCTTGAACATCTCGTCATATAGTTGAGTAGCTATGATGTCAACCATTTCGATCCCTGGCATATTTCCGTCCTCTGTCAAAAGCCGATACCTGTGCCGAACTTGTGAACCTTTTGTTTGGAAATCAAACATCCTAGATTTTACAGCCATCGGTAAAAAGTCTCCAGAGGCTGCGTTATCATCTTTTTAAGTAGAAGGTTGAAATAGTAAAAGTTGACGCACGCCTGCCAACGATTCAACTGCGCTGTCAGATCTGCACGTCTTATACCGGTAAGACTCGCAGTCTCAGCAATATCAATCTGTCAAATCAGGTCAAGTAACGTGGTGATAGGTAAGTCATGTTATCATCAATGTTGGAATCGGAAAGAGAATTCGTACCGAAGAATTAGACGGTCCGTTTGACATATGATTACAAAGCGTTCGAGCAAGATCTCCTTTTTCAGCTTTCATCTTAGCTATAATTCTATCATCTCTAGGCCAAGTGAAGACACTATAGAATGGTGTAGTAGCCCTCATGAGGTTAAAATTAAGCTCAAGTTGAGCAAACAGTAGACCGAGAGTATTGATCTGAAAACACGAAATGTATCAGTCATCAATGGTGTGTGTTTATTGATAGCGATTCAAAGATAAGCTGACCTTAATATCATGCCTGGTGAATACATCAGATACATCTTACGGTAAGCTCAATAATCATATCTTCAAGTTTCATAGATCAAGACGGATGACTCACGCCTTAGCTTGTGCGTAGTGATTAAACACCAGGCACTCGTCCTCATCTAAGTCGGTAGTAAACACGTCCGCCACCCAGCTTTTCATGGACCTAAGACTTGGAGTATTACCACGTGCGAAAGCTTCTAAAGGAGGTATATCATATTTCGATAAAAAAACACAACATTCAGATGGTAATCCATCTCTACCAGCTCTACCAATCTCTTGAGAATAGTTCTCAAGGGTTTTAGGTAACTTGTAATGAATGACTTGTCTGATTGTAGCTTTGTCAATACCCATCCCGAAAGCTATAGTAGAACAAACGATTCCCTATCGAATCAGAAGATAGAATAATTAGCTTGGATAGAATGATGTTGGTGAACTTCGAGGTTTCGTCGAAATTAATTCAAGAAAACTTACTCGTTCACTTTGAATGAATTTTTCTTGAGTTCTCAACCTATCTTCTGAGCTCATACCAGCATGATAAACTCCAGCTTCGTCTAATCCTCTCCTACGCAAAAGTTGTACCAAATCCTCTGCATCACCTTGGGTAGTCACATAAACGATTGCTGCACCTGTACGCCGTTGCAGCATGGGTATCAAGACTGAAAGTTTTTCTTCTGGAGTTGTGGCAACCTCGACTTTTAAGGTAAGATTCTTTCGATAAGTTGATGTCTTGAATAAACCAGTGTCGTAATCTATTGAGAATCCAGCACAGATCTAGATACAATCAAGATAATCAGAATGTGTAGCAAATGAACAGTCTCATGATGATCAGATAACTGACTTCTTTTGCTACTTGGGGTGTCGCAGTCGCAGTTAACGCCAAGACACGTTGTGCAGAGACTTCTTGTGCAAACCGCGCGACCTTGAGATAATCTGGTCGAAACGATGGACCCCATTCAGAAATACAATGTCTAAAGAAACTTCATCAGTAAGGATTGATAAAACAAATATTGGGAGTTTATGCTTGCTTACGCCTCATCCACTGCTACCATACTGATGCATTCCAAACCGTTCATCATGTCCAAGAAGAGTTCATTATTCAGTCTTTCGGGAGCCACGTATAGTAATTTGATCTTTCCACTTCTAACTTCTGCTTTCACGCAAGCAGCTTGCTGCATATCTTGCATTGAATCCAAAGAAGCCGCTGGTACTCCTCTTTGAACCAATCCATCCACTTGGTCCTAACAGGCAAAGGAGGTTTTAGGCTATGAATTTTCGATGTCTCTTTGTCCAACGCATAACAGGTACGTACTTTCATGAGCGCAAGCAATGGCGATATGACAACAGTAAGTCCAGGAAGTAGCAAAGCAGGGAGCTTGGATTCATTGAAAAAAGAGGGATTAAAGAAATAAAACAAGAGGCTTCAATTAGAATTCTATCGATGTGTTTCTGACGTTTTGGGTCATTGTTTATACATATTTATTAAGAGAGGTACGAAGTGCTGAACTTGATAAAGCAAACTTTTTCCACCACCAGTTGGCATTAAAACAGTCGCACCAAGTCCTTCACAAAGTAATCTACGAATTACTGCTTCTTGAACGCCTCGAAATTCATCAAAACCCCATACTTCAGTCAGACATCGTTTTGCTTCGGACATGATCTATATGGTATTTGATAGACATATCATCAGCTTGAATTCGATTGGTATTGGGGAACCCGAAATGATTTCTTGCGACGATTGAGAATGAGTAGTGAGTGGAATCGCATCACCTCCTTCGTACTCTCCTCATCGAAGACTGGCTCTTCAGGTTCAGGTGAGGAACAAAGGTCGAGAACTGTCTGCGATGATTTTGCATTAGGCATCGCGATTGAAGGGTCTATCTGATGTTGGAAGATATGTTTAATGGTACAAGTTAGTCGATTTGTCAACTTTGGTGATTTCAAAAGACAAAGCCAAAATTTCAAAATTCCATCAAACTTCAAACAGAGAAACTTTTTTGTTACAATGTGATGTTACACGGTGCACGTGACAATAACCCGCTAAAGTTTACATATGCGTTATGTATGTAAATTGTGTCCGCAACCAGTCGCAACGTCCATTAAACGTCAACAAGCAGTCGTACTTTGACCCACATCTCCATATCTTTATCAAGCAGACATCGATGGGGTTCTAGATGTGTCATTCAGATGATCAGGGCTTTTGCTTGGTGAGAAGGTCTAGTAAAAGGAAACATACGAAAAGTTCTTCCAAACAAAAAAACACAAAATATCTGATGTAAGACACTGGTGAGCGTTATCTGAAGACATTTTATGACTTTGACCGCAAGTGCAGGGCACGATGAGTAATTCAAAGAAATTCTTGAGAATTGAGCGAGCTCTCTGAGTAGCCAAACGGTGTACCCAATACAATCAAAGATTATCAGAAATGATTTTACCAAGAAAATCATTCATCAAAGTCATTGAGAAGAAAAGATTGTGAAGAATTTGTGGTATGATTTCCATATGATACAACTACTAGACAAAACAACTTTTTCTAAGAAAAAAAGTCTTAAATCATAATCACTTGCTGATCATATAATAAAACCCAATAAAATAAAACTAAAGTAAAATAAATCTTTCAAAAAACCAAACCAAACAGAAAGTATGATTTTTTTTTCTGTACTTTGATTTTACAAAAAAAAACATACATCTACACAAAAAAAGAAAAGATTGTGAGTTTTTTTTTCGTACTCTGTGATCTTTTATCTTACTTCTTGAAAACGAAAAAAATGAAACAAATTAAACTCAATGAAAGGAAGAAGTAACATGAAAGAATGGATGACACTAAGTCAGTAAATGTCTGTTGAATGATATTGTTTCATGTTAAGAAATGAAGAGTCAACTTTAACGAAGCGGAGGGAGTTCTTGAATCGAAACTAATCTATTCCTACGTGAACTTGGTTCTCTTTGATGATGTTGTGAATGTTGTGGATAAGGAACACGTGAAGCAGAATCAGATGGAGAAATAGAAGAATGTGCTTCGAAATCTTCCCAACTTTCTTGTGACCAAGTTGATCCCATTCTGAAATAAATAGATAAAACATCAGTGCTAATCGAAAAGAGTAGAAGAAATTCACTGACGAAGATCTACAACCCGCTTCTTCACCAACTGTTCCAAGCCATCCATCAACCTTAACTTTTTTCTTAGGTTCGATCATATGATGAGAGAAATTATGATCATAATTTCCAATCCTTTTATCATTATGACTACTATGACTACCACCACTACTACTACAAACCGAAAGTTTTCTAAATCCCATCCTAGATTCATTTCTTTCCGATTGATAAGGATCATAAAATTTAGATAAACTAGATTCAGGTCGTTTATGATTTAATGTACTATCATCTTCATTCCATTGTTTTTCTCTCCACCATTTTGTAAAATCTTCTTCTGCTCTATGTTGTTCTGGTGTTTGAGGATAATGTCGAATTTCACTAAACTGTTGAAACCTGTTTTGATTGAAAGATGATGAAGATAGAAACTTTAAATCTTTTCCAATCGAATCTCTTTCATTTTGAATGATTTCTAATTCGTTTTCTTCTTTGGGTCCTCTTTGATTTGGTTTAGGTGGTGTCCATTCTTTTCGATTTGCTTTTGATCTTTTACGTCTAAAAGCTAATAAAATTCTACTACCTATCCAAATTAAAACTGCACATCCTGCCAAAGCTGCGAAGACAATTGCACATAGTACGCTTGGTCTCGGCACACCTGATGGGAGACTAGCATTTGTTTCTACTTCTGGTCCATATTCATTCAAGTCGATAGTATTTGGTGATGTAGAACTAGAATTTCCTTGGCTTATTGGTTTTGACGTATTGCTACTCGCGTTTGAATATGATACATGTGTGAGAGGAGCAGAGGTGATATTTGAGGTGATATTGTGGGAAGTAAATGGGGTATGTCCTGATTCTTTATGTGAAGATGAATTAGTTAGAGTCCCTGGTTTCATGGGTGGTGATGACTTTTCCTGATGATGAGATATTGATTGGTTATTAGATGCGGTTGCCTTAGGAACTTCTGAGTCGGTTTTCTCAGTCTGATTATTCGTGGCTCGAATTCGTAAAGGTAAAGACTCAGCATCTTTGTTTACTTTGTCTTTCGGCGCTGAAGGATGATGCAAAGCAAATGTCAATGAAGGCTTCTTAGGAATGAACTCATTAAAAGTTCCAAAACAAGGTCATACCTGGAACCATTGAGAAGTGTGCACACTATATTTGAAAGTACCTGTGGTTAAATCAGCGTTGCGTGAAACTTGTCGAGTAACAGCCAAAGCTGGAACTCAAACGATGATGGAAAAATTCTCTGAAAGGAAAGAAAGCGAAAAATATAGACGAGAAAAGTAAGGAAAAGAAATGGTGGTGATATGTGTGTGGTATGCTGAGCTATTTGAATTCTTGATTTGTACAATTCTTGATACGAAAGGAGAAAATTTTGAGAGATACACTTTAGACAAAAAAATAGAATTTGACAATCAAATCCAGAAAGGAAGTCAATCTTCGTTGAAGGAAAAAAAATGTTATCTTCATTCACAGAATAAGATCAACCTTCAAGCAGAGAAGACTTTCACAAAATGAACAGGGAAAAATGGAAAGGAAAAAAAAACATTTGCATTGTATTTCACCCTGAAGTTAAGATGGACTGAGTCATGAAGAAGGATATAGATCACTTAATCGTCAGTGATCAGTGAATCTGGTGATTTGAGCCCAGCGAGTTGAAGAGTGAAAGCTGAAGATTGAGGATTCAACTTAATGAAGACGCCGAGTTGATCTGAAGGGAAAACGAGGGTTGCATTTCGAGTGATGTGATGCTGAGTCGTGATTCACTTGCCAACGAGTGAAAACCTCGCGTAGGATTCAGTTCAACAAGGGTCTAAGTTATGGGCTTCCCTCGCCATTGGTTGTGCTACTTGAGATGGTCAAATCACGATTGCCGAGTCAAGTGTTGAATCTCGATAGAAGACAGGGTTCATTCAATTCGACCATCATCCGAGACCCTGAAGATCTACGCCACTACGAACAAAAGGCGTACATCGCGCTGAACGATCTAAAGAACAACAAGTTGAGTTTGAGAAACCTTGAAATAGTAGAACCTCGAGTTCGAGCAGAGGCCGTGAAGTGAATGCTTTGACGAGTGATGCAGATGAACCTTTCGCGAGGCGTCAAGAGTGAAGCTTCAGATAAAAAGCTTCTCACTTGCTTCCAAACGCTTCATCACTGACAAAATTACTTCTGATGCAAGGCCTCTTCAAAGCTATACACCTCGTATCAATGAGGGATCCCTGAGTCGGTGCCCTGAAAGTACAAAACTATGTTAGGCGTTCTCTTTGGTTGAGATTAAAAAGATAGGCAAGGATAAAGTAGTCCCAAATCTATAGAAAGACGGAATGTCAACCTAGATTTGGGAAACAAGAGTTTAGCCCGCAGAATAAGTCATTCGAGGTGTTCGGTCATCTGCTACAAGACCTCACCATTGATTGACATGCAACCCGTACCTTGAAACCCGAAGTCTAGCTTTTTTTTGTGTTAAATAAGTCTATGAATCAAAACAAAACTTCTTCCTTTTTTAAAGTGTGTAGCTGGATATATATCTATCTTATCCCACTTCCTTTCTTTTCTTTCATAGATAAAAAATATCAAGCTATATCTCCTTTTGATTTTTAGTTGGGGATTGATGATCACGAAAGAGAAGAGAAAAAAAGCGGGTCTCAGAGAACAAAGAAAAAAAAACAGAACAAAACAACAGAACAAGCTAGAGCTAGAGGATGGGCTATATAGACAAAGTTTTAGTCAAGCTATTGAGTATTTTTGGATGGGGTAACAGGTGTGATAAGCAAAAGGCAAAAAGGTAAGGTCTAAGTGAGAGGTAGTGAATTTTGAAGCTCCAATTAAAAGCCTCGAAAAATTCCTCGTCCCCTGTGAAAAAGATCAGGAATCAAAACAGTTGTGAGATTTTTGATCGAATCTTTCAATCAGATTGTCATGGATGGTCTGACCTTCCTCGCGGCCTGTAGTATGGGTTGAATCCTCGACCTCTTCCACGACCACGACCCCTTCCTCTTACAAAGCCAGGTAGATTAGTCCGTTTGGGAGTTACCTTAATGTTTTGGTTTATAAAGAAATCAATGAGTCACTGCGTTACATATACAGAAAGGCGCCAAGGATGATAGGTATCACTAACTTTGATTTGACGTCCTCGGAATAGTGAGTCATTCAACTGGCAAGCTTGGTGGACGAGCATTGGATCCGAAAATTCGATGTATGCATATCTGTAGCATTCATCGAACGTAAATCAAAAAAAGAAGTTCATAGTCTAATAAAGGGAGCAAAGCGCGTCGAGAAAACTGACCCTTTAGGTTGACCAGTAAACTTGTCGCACAAGATCGTGATCCGATTGATAGTACCACAAGACGAAAAATGGGCTTGAATCTCTTCTGCTGTACTTCCATAATCAACCTGACAGATGTAGAAGAGCAAGGTGATTCATTAGCTTCTTGCCATCCGGGTAGTCTCTTTGAGAGGTGGATCGAGGTTCCATACGTTTCCAACATAGACACTCCGACTATCTACAGCTTCTCTGTCTTCTTCAGTGGGATTGTTTCCTTCTTGACCACCACCTTGTTCATTCATTTCTTTCTCCACCTGAGCTTGCATTTCGCGTAATTTTTCAGCTTCCATCTCCATCTCGCGTACCCGCTGTTTCATTGATTCGAGTTCCTAACACAACAGAAACAAAACATGAGTAAGGTTCTTGAGAATCGTATTATCGTTTGAAATAGAATTGAGCTTTCTCACTTGATTGTCCTCATCTTCCATGCCTCCGTCATTTCGGATACGAGAATCATCTGTGTGATCACCGTTCATTTTGAAGTTTTTCCTTGATCGATTGAGTTAAATATGAGATGAGGTTGATAGGATTAAGAGGATGTAAAAGAATTGGACGTTTGAGTTTCAGGAATTGAGGTTTCGATTGTTTGAAGTTCTTTAAAGCAAAAAAATAAGATTGAAAATTCGGATTAGGAAACCACCATTCACTCTAAAACCCATAACTGCATCCGGTGTGAACCCATCGCTACCCGCCGCAGTATGTACAGTTTTGAACTTCGTCATCTCTCCAGTCCCGCCCTCTCCTTTCAAGCAGGTCGATCATCAGTCAAATATGTATGGAGAAGTTAGCTGAACAATCCAGTCCAAAAAAGGCACCACGAAAAGAAAGGAAAAGATGAGCGATTTTCATCCATGCACAAGGAATTCAGACTTGACGATACTCACTGAAATTCCGTATAGTCGATGCGTTATTGTTCATGTTACACTAGTAGTCAAAAGGACACTCCGCATATCGTAATGAAATCAAATAAAGATCCACGGTAACAGAGGCCGATAATACTTTGAATCCATACACCTATTTGTAAAGGAATGATTGCTCCCAAATATGGACAGGCACAAGTAAGCGAAATCAGAAGATAACAAGGTCACTATTCAGAGAGTAGCTCACCATTTCTATGCAAACCATGAAATAAGAAGTGATCATGGGCCACTCAGCTCGAGAAGTAGTCCGCCAGCTCAGCTCAGGGATCTTTATAGGAAAAAGGCCGCAAAGTCTATACTTCGAGGAAAGCAGGTGGTCATATTGGACACATCTGCTTGCTATTTATGTTTCAACTTCATGGGTATACTCCTACATTAGGGCCTGCCTGAGTGCGTAGAGATTTGGATAGCTTGCATAACTGGAAGAGAAAAAATCGAGGTATTGCGAAATTTGATTGTTCTGCAATGCGCGCAAAATATCCGGATGTTTGACCTGAAAGCAACTACGTATCCAACCACGCAGGCTAGACGCGGAATTTAAGGGGTGGTGAATGTCATTTGAAGCAAATGGGAGATGACTGGGATCAAGCTTTTTGTAAAGTCTTTCCTTTTGATTGCTTGGGTTCAAATCTTTGATCTACTTGGTCCTTTTCATTTTCTTCACCATCGTGCTTTGACAGTAGATTGAGAACAATTCTCAATGGTTTGTAGGTTTGGATGTGTTATTGGGGCGGGAGACTGAAGTTTTGTGGAATCATCATCCACCCAATTGTAGAATCTTCATTGAATTTGTATGCTTGGCCAATGTTTGTGGTAGGGAAACCAGAGTAGACATTCTTAAAAAATATCTGCTAGTCAGTATATGATGATGGAGGTTACAACTTTCTGTCCACTCAGATTACAAATTTTTCTTGACTTGAATACATTCCCATACTAAGAACAATGCAATGATGTTGTTAAGGTCTGATATGTGGTTCTGCTTATGACAGGGGTTGAGGTATCTTGCTAGTGCTATCTAGTCTTGTATGCAAATTGTCGGATGAGGAGAAATAAGAGTGAAAGAACAACCACGGGGTGTACAATGATGGATCTGTGACATCGTCTACAAGTCTTTCACAGGCCGTTACACATAACCTGAGATCATAACAGTATACCCCTTTTTATGCCCAAACTCCCTCTTGCAAGTTCTGTGTTCCTTCCATGGGCAGCATTAAAAAACCCATTGGGAAAAAGCTTGCCCTCTCACTTATGCCTTGTCCTGTTGTGATTTTCAGCTGCATTTGGGAATTTGATGTTGAATTCTTCCAATAACTCAGTGCAATTCTGTAAATTGTCTTCAGATTCCCATGAATTATGTTGCAATCCGAATATTTGCCAACTGACTAAATACTACTTCTTCTTATATCTTTTTTGGCAATCCAGAATTTTGGATACTTCCCATTCTTCTTGTCCTTCAAGAATTTTTGGTTTGGGTTCTTCTTGGTGTCTTTGTTCAATGCTGTCTGTCACGTGTTTCCTGAGTAATGACACATGGAAAACTGGGTGTACACCCCTCATAGATGCTGGTAAGGTTAGCTTATAGGCTGAACGTGACACTTTCTTGATTCTGTTGAAAGGACCTATCCATTTGAAGTCCAACTTTGGGCTTGGCCTGGTCATTGATAAGTTCTTTGTGTTCAGCCACACTTGGTTGCCTATTTGCCATTTGGGTGATTTCCTTACTCCATGATCAAACTGTCTCTTCATCTCCTGCTGTGCCAGATGCAAACATTCCGTCAGTTCATTCTGTACATCGTCTAATGTCGTAAGCCTCTCCTCCACGCTTGGAATACTTTGTTCTTCCGACGGTACTCCACCAAAATTGGGATTGAATCCATAGTTTGCCTTGGATGGGGATACTCCCGTTGACGCGTGATCCTTGTTGTTGTAGGAGAATTTGGCAATTAGTAGTAACACCTCCCAGTTGTCCTGGCGGTAGTTCACAAAATGTTGTAGGAACTGCTCAATTGCCTTGTTGACAATCTCACAGGAACTTTGATTCTTCCTTGGTTATACAGTACTCCCTTGTGTACGGTGTACCCAGTAACCGTGTCTTGTATCTTGGACAATATTGGGTTATCAGTTGCTTGAATAATTTCTTGAAGACGTGGGTCGTGGGTGGTAGCTGTTTGTATTAAGTTTATAATCTCCTGATTGTTGAGTATGGGCTCTACTGTTGTGTCTTCTGATACCTCAAGTACATCTACTTCAAACCAATGCTCAGCATTCTCCAGTTTGACTTCTTCGTTTTCAAAGAATGAATCTAATGTGGCTGATTCCGCTGTGAAAGTATCAGGTCCTATGTTTTCTGGTCTCAATAACTGTCCAAATGTTATCTTCTCCATTTGACTTGGCTCTAAATCCGGTCTCCTTGATAGTGCATCTGGCTTCCCGGCGTGTCATTGCGGTCAAAATTTAATTTGAAAGTTGAAACATCCTAAAGTTTCAGCCCATCTAGCCTGGCGTCGAGTTATTTGCTTTGTGGTCATGAAGGTTTCTAAATTTCTATGGTCAGTGTATACTATTACATCTAATCTATTAGGATTGCCTTCCAAATAATGACACCATTCTTTGAACAAGCCTACAATCGTGAATACCTCCTTGTCAAAGATCTCATAGTTGTGTTTTGCTTGTACTAAAGAGCATGACAAGTATGCAACTGGATGTACAGCCGGTCCTAGAAAGCTTGGACCGGGATTTTGGTTTTTGTCGTTTCACTTTTTTGCTTTTGTTTTTGTAAATGAGCAAAAGGTTTTATTAAACACTTTTATAGGCTGCTTTTTTGAGTATCAACTCTCTTCTATCAGTACACGGTGATTCTGGAAGAAAAATCAATTTTTCATAAGAGTACATATGGATTGAATTTTGAAGCTCCACATTTTGCCAAATGTGGAGCTTCAATACAGCGTCACCATAGCAGTCACAGCTGTGACATGGCAGGCACACCACCTGTCAACAATTGGTGACATACACTGAGCTACCAAATGGATGGAATCCATATTGGTAATTCACATCCAACCAGATTTCATTGTTCTAAACTTCTTCCTTCATCTTTCCAATGGTTTATGTCAAGTACTTGGCCAACATTAAGGTTATTGCAATACGCCTCAAGCTTCAAGGCAATGATCTCCAATCAATCAATGAACGGCTTGATATCAAAATCTTGTGTCAGTCTTTGAGTCAATGGACACAACTTTATCTCACCACAAACTCAGTACTTGCCAATCCTCAATTCTATGAAACTCGAGGTGCACCAACCATTGTCTCAGCGGGGCAACGAGCATTCATCAAAGAGATGCTCAAAGACGACCCAACTTTATATCTTGATGAAATATCTGAACTTCTTCAAGCTCGGACTGAAACCCCGATCTCAATATCTACTCTTGCAATCAAAATTTGAGACCGTCTGGTCCTTACTCGTAAAGTAGCGCGGACAGTACATCCCAACCAATCACCGATGCGGCGTGGTGAATATATTTATGAGGTGGGTGGCATTAAACCAGAATGTCTGGTATTTATTGGTAAGTATTCTTCTTTCATCATTCAAGTTCTTATCTTTCCAGCTTATCACATCCTTGTTTATGGTACAGTCACCTCTGTGAAAACCGATACCCAAAAAATTGGGTCCAAAGCTATCGGTTTTCACCGAGTATCTGTTTTCTCAGAGCAAAATTCACTAAAAATGAAGATTTATTTGCTCAAAAAAGTATCGGTTTTGCATGATTATTGGTTTTGTCATGTATCGGTTCTCGCAGAGGCGACTGTAGACAAGAGTGCCATAGCAAAACGAAGGCTCTGTCGTAAGTATGCTTGGGCTACTCAGGGTCAACGGACTGAGCGGCTTCAACGACCTACAAATTCTAATCGGTTTACTGTACTTCCAGACATCTTGCTGGACGGTTTACTTGCACTACAAGTCAAGGAGGGCTCTTTCAAGAGATTGAACTTTGAAACCTACCTTCAAGAATATCTGGTAAGAAATTATAAAAAAAAATCTCGTCCTTTGATATTGTTTGTTGACTTGTTTCTTTTTTATTGCATACATTAGCTACCAATGATGAATCCGTGGCCCGAGGTGAACAGCTGTTTAGTACTTGACAATGCTCCCGTCCACCACGGCGGGAAAATTGAGAATCTCTGTGAACAGTTTGGTGTCCGATTGTTATACCTTGCACCTTATAGTCCCAATTTTAATCCAATTGAAAAGGTTTTCTCAGTGATCAAAAGTTGTTTACGTCGGACTCGAGCCTTGATAGGTGATTTCACATCTGAAGAAGAAGAAGAGATTATTTACCTGACAACTGAAGATGTTATCACACCAAAGTTGGTTCGGAGCTTATATGAGGGCTCAGTTTATTTGTAACAAGCCTAGTATGTTCTATCTCTCTTCATTTTTCTCATAACTCAATCAAATATCAAAAAATAACAACAAATCAAATCACAGTTACATACGATCTAGTACCTCGATCTGATTCACCTTCACCGTGTTCATCTAATCATCCATCAAGATCTCAATTATCCAATCCTCCATCTTTGAATTCACCAAGCTTAACTTCAAATCAACCAATTCCTACTATTCTTCCTTCCCATCATCAACAACTACAACTACAACAAAATCAACTGTCAGAACAACCTATTGAAGATTCTAGTTTTTCAAGTCCTGATTTATTATTAGATCAATCTACAACCAAAAACTCATCAACCGAAGAAACTCAAACAAGTCCAAAAAATCACTTCAATCAATCTACAAATTCACTCACAAACAACCCTCAATTCAATCATCCTTGTCAATCATCAAGACATCACAATTCTTATTTAGAGACCTATGGATCTTCATCTTGTCCTGGTTGTCGGCCTATCAGTGGAGGTGGAAGTGGTCCTGGTCTTATTTGAGAACAGTCCTACTGTGTTTTCTGTTTGTTTGTTTTTGTATCCCTCTTCTAGATTGTAAATGTATAAGTTGTATTTTTCTTCCAAATAAAATCTGAAATGAGATCTCAAGATTGCGGTAATTTCAGTTTTAAATCAATTTTCAATCTCAATTCTGAAGGTTTAGGAAACAAATAATTATTTGGATTGAGTACAAATCACACTGCCACTTAACTCTACTAGTAAATTAAAGTACTTTACTGGGAAAATAAAGATGTGTACTTTACTCTACTCAAACATGAATGCTCACAAGGTCTTTCTAAATTAATAGTTCATAATTACCTACACTACATGCAGGGTGGTGACGCCGCGGGTGCGGGGTCGCGCTGACCCCAGATCGACCCCCCGCTTTTGCAAGACCCCCCCCTTGGGTTTTGTGTGGCGTCACCTCGACCCCGCATCCGCAGGGTCAGCACTTTGCATATAGTGCTAGTGGTTAGATGGTCATCTCGTCTGCCCCCTACTCGCAGTGGTTGTTGGCTCAAACCCCGTTGTGGGCAAAGATAACTGGAGATGGCTTCCTAATGAAGGACATTACATCACCGTAGTCTTTGCTAGTGGGGTGCTTTGCTGTGCCTCATAGCTTTTTAGTTATGATTGGATGTCGGCCAAGCTGAAGCTTCAAACATGTGCCTTTAGGAAAGCATCATAAATCACATAGGCAAAAAAGTAGTCTGACTTAGGTAGTTTTTATCAAAAATTATGGAGCATACACTGATCTGAGAAGTGTTTTTCATTGCAAAACTTTTGGCATTTCCTTCCAAATATCAATCAAACTTCATTTCAACCCTTCAGCTCAATTTTGCTAGCCAAGCAGCTCATTGTAGGAAAAAATACCAAACAGTTTTTCATCGATGTTTTGCCTTTGATTTTAAATCACAAGCGTTTTTTTATTTCAAAGGACATTTTTTGGGGGAGTCACTATTAGAGCACAACATGTAAGTGATGCATACAGGATGACATGAGAAAAGATCACAAGGTCCAGCAACCTTCACTGAGTTTCCTGAGAGCAGGATTTGAAAAAGATGTTTATGACTTGTTAACTACAATCAAACCTGGATGGGTTGAAAGAAACTGTTTTTAATGGATTCTCTCACTCAGACCCCAAAACGCTTAGCACCTGAGATTAGTTTTCTTGCAGTTGCAGGTAAGAATCCTTCTTTAATTAAAGCATCCAAGCCAAATCCTTCCTCTTCATTTTCTTGGAGATCGGTCCAGTGATCAAAAGCCAGAATCTCAAGCTTGTTTTGGGTTTCTTTGTCGTCAGGTTTGATGCGTGCAAAGGAAAGGAAATTTTCAAATTTTCCGCAATACACACTCATAAAAAGACGCTTGTCTGTGTCCAAAATCAAACTGGTGTGTGATGTTGTCGCAGTTGGAGTAGGAGCTGCAGATACAGGTGCAGCTACCGGAACAGGATCTGGCTGAGATGCTTTTTCCTTGGCCATCCGAACCTCGTCAAGTGGTGATATTCCATTCAGGTAACAACAAAAGTTTACTGTTTTAGGTGGATTCTTCAAATCAACTTCAAATCGACCAGCTCGGCGGTCTTCAATCTGGATAAAATATTGTTGTTAGTACAAGTTATAGACAAGTGAAATGCAGAATTGGAAACTAACTATGATATCAGCCCATATCCTTGCTTTTTCACTTGTCACTCGAAAGTAATTGTTGGTATTCACACTGTGAATATAATGTATTTTTCCGAGGTGAAAAATGATTACATTTATTTCACAAAATGATTAAAAATGCATTAATTCTGCATTAATTCTGCATTTTTCTGCATTAATTCTGCATTATTAATCATTTTGTGCATTTATGTCAATCATTTTTCACCTTGGAAAAATACATTATTTTCGCAGTGTCAATGGATCATAGTATATTGAGTTGTTGCCTTTTTGGTGTTGAGTTAGGATCTTTTCTGCAAGTGAAGAGTGCTCGTTTTCCGAACCAGGGGGTGGGAGTTTGATTTCACTAGACCGATTTGCTGATTTGTTTATCTTTTTTATCTTGTAGATTCTCATAGAAGCTTCTTGAGCTTCAATCTCAGCTCGGGCTTGTCGTAAAAGTGAAGGATCTTGCATCTTCAAAAGAAGATTAACAAAATGGGTTGGGCCGAGATCTTGAATGATTTGAATGAAAGTATTCCATTCATCTTCATCGTCGATGTTGTAAAAAGGACCAGCTTGTTTGTCAGTTTGTTCAGTTACAATCCACGAGAGCTCTTTAGGAGGGTCAGGATCAGTTAGGTAGATTGAGAGATCTGTGATGTATCGGTCAACCTCCTTCATCCCAAGAGTTTTAAACTCATGCGGATTGGTCTTGAAAGGGTTGATGAGAAAAGAATGGAGATATTGGACACTCTTAAGTGTACTGGTGACTTTCTTATAGATCAGTTTGGTAGGTTGAGTTCGACCGCGCTTTGATGTTGAAGGAGCTCGTTTTTCTTTTTGTTCTTTCTCCTGCCAGATCTCATATCCAACCCAAACACGCACTTCCTTCTCTTCTGAATCTTCATCTTCATTTGTTTTCAAATCTAAATCTTCTTCAATAGTATCATGTTCAGCCATTGATTTGTAAGATTCTTTCACCCTGAGATTTTGACAGGGTTCACGATCCTCCAGCGGAGGGGGTGAATCAAAGAATGGACTCATGGGCCGTTTGGGGTTCATTGGACTATTTGTCTACAAGTGAAACAAGTCAGTTTGAGCCGGACCACTAAATTAACATGATGGTGACAAACTTTGGCTGCTAGGTTGTCCGATGCACTTATTTCAGATACTTCACGTTTTTGATGCTTACCCGATCCACTCTGTTCAGTTGCTTTACGTTTTGATTTCTTTTCTTTTTTTGATTTCTTTTCTTTTTTTGATTTCTTTTCTTTTTTTGATTTCTTTTCTTTTTTTGATTTCTTTTCTTCTTTTGACTTCTTTTCTTTTTTTGATTTCTTTTCTTCTTTTTCTGAATTCTCTTCTTCAATTTTTGGTAAAGTAGGCTGTTCAACCGGTCCTCGATGTGCTGGAATCGCTCGAATTCTACGTTGAGGTGCTTGAGATTTGTGTGACGGTTTCACTGACTGTGATCCTTGAGAAGGTACCCCAAAATCTCGATGTATCAAGGTTGATCCGCTGCTTAAATCCATGTCAGAATCGTCAAAACACAAAGGTCAAGAAGATCAAAACAAGTTACAGCACTCACCTCGCGGAACCACCAATGGCTGGTTTGGCTTCAAGAGCGGGTTTTGCATACTCAGCACTGCCATTAGTGAAACTTCAAACAAAACAATCATCAGTGAGTCTTTACGTATTGCCATTAGATTATGAAACATGAAACACTGACCTGTTGAAAGAGCCTCTGGGGATGTCAGGCCACATGGAATGAACATCTACAAAAGCTGATTGTGATGAATATGGCTTTTTAGTAGATTCAATAACAACATCGGAGCCGTATTCAGCTTCAACTTCGGATTCAAAGTGGGTAGAAGGGCTGTTTTCAGTGAATTCATGAGAAGATAAGGATGCATGTACTTGTTTACACTTTTCGGACATTCTGGCGAGGTAAACGTGAGGATAAGGTGGGAACAGCAGTGTATAGGAATACGTAGCCCTTTTCATAATGACCCTGAACCCACGTCATTGAAGCTTTCACGTAGGCAACAGGACAGGTTCACAATCATGAACAGACTGATTGTGTACTGTTCAGTTCACGATCATGAACTGAGACCAGTCCCAGTTGTTGTGCCTGAAAATTACACAACCTTACACAATTTATATATTATTTTTCACAGCATTGCCACTGGTGGCCAAAGGCACGACGTCATCTGTGAGGTCCATCGGGACAGACAAAACGGTGTATGAGCCAAAACACAGGGCCGGGAAATACTCGGGCCCACCAAAGAGAGAGATAATACAAATCGTGAAAATTTTTCAATTTCACAATTCTGTATACCTCTCAACGCTCATACACCTCAGCTAGAATTTATGATTCTTAAAGTTCTAAGACTTCCAAAAAGAAGTAACAAAGTTTTCATTTTCAAAAAGAAGAAGACATGGACGGCCAAGATCAAGGATCAACACAAGCATTCAACAAAGATGTGAATAATATTTTAGTTCAACATGAAAAGGAAAAAGGAAAATTTGAAGAAGGAAGTCAACGTGGCAGAGGAACAAGCAAAGCAACTAGAGGAAGAGGCAGAGGAAGCAGAAGAGGAAGAGGGGGAACGGCAACAACCAGGAAAACAAGAAGTGTAACAAAAGGAAAAATCAGAGAACCAAGAGAAGAAGTAGAACAGGAAGGAAACGAAGAAGGAAGCGAATTGTCAGAAATTGCAAGTGTTGGAAGGATGGAAGAGAAGGAAGAGGAAGGAGATGTGGAAGATAAGGACATGGAAGAGAATGAGGGAGATGAAGATATCATTTCATTAGGTAAGTTCCAAAGAGTAATATCAGACACCCACTTTTTCATATATCCCCCACACGCCCTTTATTTCATCATGTCCTCAAGAAAAATCATCAATCGAGAGAAAAGACTGCAACCACACGGGTGGAACAGATCTCAGAGAAATATGGCTAGATAAAAGAAAGAAAGAAAGACCTACAATAGATGTGGAAAGTTGAAAGGTGCTTGAATAGAGAAATATATTTCTGGCTTGATAGGAGAAATATATCTCCGGCTTGAATAGAGCAAACGTCTCTGGCTTGAATAGGGAAATATATCCCTGGCCTGAATATCTTGACATAAGATCAAAAGATAAGACGTGGATAGTGCAAATGTGTAAAAAGATGTGTTGTGATGATGAGCCGAGTGGAGTGATGAGCCGTGTTGAAAGTGATAACGCTACAGGATAGCTAACAAAGACGTGTTTTTTTTTGTTGTGTGATTTGGTGGCGGTAGAAGATGAAGCAGATTTTGTCGCTGAGAACGCACATATTGATAGGGAACATGAAAGGTACCTTGCGGAGTTAACAAGACTTTACCGGAAGGGGAACACCGGCAGATATGACATTCTTGATAAAGCTTACACCAAATGGTGCAAAAGAATAGGAACTGATCCAAGAGGTATCAAGATGTTAGATGCGTCAAGTGAGGAAGATGAAGATGTAGAGCCAGGTGCTGGGAAAAGGAAGGCAAAAGAGTGCGGTACTGAGAAGTTGTCGAAAGTGGCTAAGAAGATGAATCACGGGAAAGTGTTAACACACCGGTTGATAGATCTAGCCCCTTACTGGGATAATAGGATGAAAGCTTGCTTTGGTTACGTACCACTCACAATCTTTGTACCGGCATGGCTTCTAGCGGACAAGAATCATATGTCAAATTGGCGAAAACAAAGTTCTTCTTGCTCAGACGTGGTGGCGTACGTAGGACTAAGAGTGCCGAGTGAATGGAGACAGAGTTTCTTGATGTGGTCAACGCCGTTCCATTTGTATGTCCAATATTGGCGGCTGAAATATCAACAGGAAGAAATCGCTAGCAGACTGGAAGAGCATTATAAAATAGTGTTAGATATCAAGGCAAAAAATCATGACGCATTTGCTCCTGCACTGAGGTACGACATCACTCACAGAACGAACATGTTCAGTCATACGCTAGAGGATGGTTCATTGTCGGATGTCGGAACTCGGAACGAAGAGCTTGTAGAGCAAGCGATAACGGATTCGAAAGCGAACAAAGATCACCAATATTTTGATAACCCGTATATCATAGGTGGTGCAATGGAAAATGTGAATCCGGCAACGGGCAGGTTTCAAGTTGGTTGGGATATGATATCAAACGGAGATGAACAAATCACAGCAGTGACAGGTGGCCGGATGTTGTCCCATTTAGCACCAAGCGGGAGAAATCAATCGCACACTCCGACCGGCCAATTCCTCGGTGAAGTGAATAGTCATTATAGCAATCACCAGCAAGAGTCAGCAGAAGGAGCAGGAAGTGTAAATTATCATCATGGCGGTAGAGGAAGAGGAAAACGCGGCAGAGGTTTTAGCAGGGGAAATGGTAGTAGAGGAGGAGGTACACAAGGTGGGGCACCCTCAGGTCCTACAACCGTAGTGAACGGGGTAATGGTACCAAAGTTTGGCCCAGGGGCCTTTGAAGCAGTGAAAGCGGCGAAGCAAGCCGGAGTAAGTGGGAATAGCGCAGGAACACAGTAAGTAGAGACATAATTAAATTATTATTTGTTCCCGTTTTTCATGAAAAAAGATATGAGGAGTTGCAAATTTCAGCTGTGAAATGAAAAAATATGCCCTTTCATAAGATTCCGTGTTAGATGAGATGAGCGCGCCTTGTGAGAAGTGAGGAACATTGCTGAGACACACCTGAATTTGACATTGAACGCTTCCTAGATCGTCACAAGTGAGAACGTTGACAAACCCGTCGAGCGCGACAACAAAGGATCAAATTGAGAGGACAGAGGAGGTCCTTGGGAAGAAGAGACAGTCAGATTTGTTGTTGAGAGAAGAGACGCAAGAAAGAAACAATGATCAGACAGGAAAACAAGATACAGACGTAGAATGTCGGAGGTTGACAAAATGGCCAGTGAAAGCAAGGTGTGAAATGAACATTAAGAGGTGGAGAGAATTGGCCAGAGAGTTTGGAGTCAAAAGAGAAGTAGGAGGAGTAATAGAAGGCTTGGTAGAAGGGTTTACACAAGGAATCCCGGAGCACTATTTGGGAAAGAAGAGGTGGTGGACACCAGATAACCATAGCCCAGCCCTAGCAGTAAAGGAGAAAATAATGAGGAACTTACAGAAGGAGAAAAATGCAGGAAGAGTATTTGGACCTTTTTCACACGAAGAGGTATATAGGAGATGGGGTTTCTTCAGGACAAACCCGATGGGGAGCGTAGTTAACAACAACGGTTCCCTACGGATGATAAATGATTTATCTTATCTGGTAGGAGATGAGGAAATACCTTCAGTCAATTCAATGGTAGACAAACATGAATTTGACACGTCATGGGACGACTTCTATGCGGTAATTCAATACTTCAGAGAACATTTTCACGGAGTCCTATTGATGGCAATATACGACTGGGAGAAAGCTTACAGACAAGCCTGCACAAAGGAGGAAGAGTGGCGTTACCTAATGATAAAGGATTTCTATAACAGAATCTGGATGGACATAGCTGTGCCATTTGGTGGTGTAGCGGGATGCGGAACGTTGGAAAGGTGGCGGACGCGTGGAGGTTGATAGTTCAGAGAAAATGAAAAT